ACATATCGTGACACTGTTACTGCTTCTCAATAAATACACTCTAATTCACATCTGCATCGTTCTGCCATGTCTGCTAATATGTTGAATGAAATATTAATTGCATACCATCTACGTTTATAGACAACTGCGACATTCTTATTGAATTCTACGCTTGGTAAACCTACTGGATCTATATCGTCCATATTGGGATTACTAATTTGTTATAATTGTGGATTATTTGGACCAAACCCAGCCGAACACGCAATAGCCTGAAGACTTAAGTAACGTCCCTTATTTTGTTATTTGTGTGTGTAATTAACTTATTAACTGTTAATTGTTACATAAACTATAGACATAATATTTTTGTTGCTAATTTTTGGTTATCACACATTTTGGTCCACCACAGTTTCACATCATCAGCGAAAAGCAATAAATCAGACGATACTTTTTGTGGAAGATCGTTTATATAAATCAAGAAGAAAGGAGGTCTTAGTATTGAGTCCTGGGGGACCCCACTAAGACATCCCATAGCCTGAGAGAAGGCGAAGTTAACCCTGACCTTAAAATGTCGGTTTTGTAGATGTGAAGTGAGCCAGTCAATCATAGGTGGTTTGATTACCAATCGTCTAAGTTTATTGATAAGACATATATGGTTGATTTTATCAAAAGCTTTTGAAAAATCAAGGTAAATGATGTCAAACTTCCCCTTACAATCAAGGGTATTTGTCCATCTGTAACAGAAAGAGTACGCTAAAAATCCTATCAGAGTGTTTTACTGAATAGTACTGTCATGGCATTGTTCTTTATCCCTGTCTTGTATTTTATCTTTTACTCACGTCTCTTCTAACTACACTTCATGTTTTTCAGTCTTCTTCGTTTGAACTTTTAGTATTTGACTTTGATTTACATTTACTACCTATTTTTAGTGTTACTTGTAGCCGGAACATTGTCAACAGCGTAGTGTTTGACTAAACTCAAGGTAACAGCGTGGTTAAATTAATGATTGTCGACCTCCGACTGTCTGCAGGTGACAGTTGTTCGAATCTTTGCAGAATACACTTAGTGATTCCCAGGTACTAAACACTTATTTATCAACCATTCCTTTTTTAGTTTAGCATGCTATTTTGTGTTAGAAACATCTTTAGCAGTATGACTTTGAGATGCCACAGATTTTCAGTGTTTGACAGCACTTCTTCACGTAACACCTTTATAATCGTTGTATACCAACCCAGACAAATCAGAAGTCAGAAATAAAGTGATCGGAAGGTATATTCTGAAGACTATTGATATATCGAGAAGCGTTTATTCTAAGCTGGCTAACGGTTGCGAGAGGTGCATAGCATGGCGTACCCACTAATGATCTGGTGCGGATGCGTGAACGATTGCCTTCAGCTAGATGTGTCCAGTGAAACAAACGAGGTCAGAATCAAATGTCAAAGACCTACAGAATTATTTATTTTAGGGATTTATTTACCGCTACAAATTAAGCAGGCTTACGTTTGGAAAGGGTTAAACAACGATTTGTATTTGCACGTCATACCAACTCACTATACAACCGTAGACTTTATTGACTGTTTATTAGTAAGGACGCAAAAATTACACAACGGATCCCAAAAGAAAACTACCCATGTTGTCTTGGGAAGCTCGTTTGTAGGTATAAGAAAATTAACATGAATTTCAGAATTCCAATTAACGACCAAACAAGTCATTCTAATTAAAGCCTAGCAATTGATGGCGCATCCGAGCAATTAAATGCTAAACGAAAGTTGAGAAAAAAACGTCTTCACACCACAAAATTGTGACAAGATGGCTAAAAATTACAAGAAAGCGCCTGAAGTAGTGATAACCATTGGGGATGTTCTGCAGTTAAGGATTGAAACTGAAGATACGACTAGTATTCCGATTTCACAACCTGCTACCAGTGGCACCTTCTATATACGAAATTTTTCCCCGACCAATGGAAATCAGAAGTCAGACGAGAAGAGGTAGGAAAGATATATTTGATACGTTACCAATATATCGAGAAGCCTTTGTTCTAAGCTGGCTAGTGAACGTAGGAGATGTGTCCCACGCTGAGTCGAAACGTGATCTGGTACGGATGCATGACCGAAAGCCTTCAGTTAAACAAGTCCACTTAAACAACGTGGTCAGCATCCAATGTTCAACACTTAATGAGCTATTGATTTTGGGGAATTATTTACAGCTACAGATCACTCCCCCCTAGTGAGGTAGTGATGCTACTAAGGCGTGACCAGCCAGAAGTTTAAACCCAACGAGTTTGTCGTTGGTAAACACTTTTCTGATAGCTTGCCATGTTTAGCAGCGTCTGGTCGTCTTTCCTTACACTAAGAGACCATAATGTACAACATAGTAATAAGGAAACAAAGTACAATGTAAATTTTGGGGAATTATTTACAGCTACAAAACTATAGGCATACCTGAATTGAAATGAATGGTAAACATTCATGGGGTTTCCCTGTCCTTGCAGTCCCAATGATTACGAAACCGAGTTTCCAAATTTTACGCTGAGAAATTCGGACAACAATAATATGGTTTTGAAGCACAAAAACTACCTTCAGGGAGATTGTAATTAATGGACAACTTTTGAACGAATCTTAAATGACCTTGAGAAACATTGGTCAATCAGTAAACAGGCAATATAGAGTAAAAATATATTATACAAAACTAAAGAATTATAGTGGATACACTTCTTTTACACGGTCCGGAAACTTGCCAAGGTTAGAAAGAGGTTCAAAGTTCCTTAAATCGTAATGTATACGGTAGAGTAACTCATCGACATGGCTCCATAATAGTCGGTCTCTGGATCCATGATGAAGTCGCAAAAACTCTCTCAGCCTCGACCACATAGCTTCACTATTGTTTGTGTTACTCCTGTTGTGTAAGCTTGTCATTTTTATTACGCGTATATCCCTACAATATTCATACCATTGAACAGCCGAATCTTCAGTAACATCTGCGATTATTGCAGCCAATGTTACTGGTGCTTTTATTATACAGTTCGCGGCAGTTATTATAATTCATCTCAATCTGGACCGAGCGAAAAGGTTCCTATTCCAGCAGAAGTTCTCCTCCAACACATGTTATATCTAAGGACATCATGCTAGTCTGTACAAGGTTTACTAGTCATTTGGTTACTGCAACTAGAAACGAAAGAACTTCTTAGTAGTCCTATTTATTGTAGCCGCTTAATTGTCACGTCTTCTTTAAAATCTCATGTCAACCGACCGTACATGAGCATCAGATTCTGAAATTGGTGTTGTGACCTTAAAATCTCTCAAACGCTTCTGATTGGTTCGTCCATAAATTATAGTCTCGCCGTGTACTCGTTATTAGTTTCCTTCAGATTAACTTTGTTCAAAATGTCGGTGCAAGTTCTATGATTTCCTTTAATACTGGATTTTCTGTTGGTGATAAACATCTTTCAGACTTTCTTGATTGAACGTCATTATTTCAACAACAAGCTCCTTAAAAGCTTTAATTTCGAACTTTTGGTTTCGTTATAGATAATTCTGTGAATAGCTTACAACATATTTGAGTTTCTGAAACTCACCGACCCTGACGGTAATTCTCGACACTTAATCAAATAAACATTCAAATATCTACAATATAATGCTTAATCCATTTCCAACTCATTCAGACCGTTTCTACTTTGTCATCGGGACTCTCACTGTGCATAACAAAGTTGAATCTGCTTTCAGCCGATAAAATATTCAAGGAACGCCACGTGCACTATAAAAACACACCATATTTCCTGAGAGTACTAGTTTCTTTGGTAACTCGTCTTTCCGAAATAGCATTGTGATAACGCGCAATTACAGCACTCTCCAAACAGACTTTCTATTTTCTTTCACACTTATTTTCGGAACATCAGACTACTTTGGTGGATTGCATTTTGCCAGTGAAACCATTCTAACAAAAAAATACTTTAGGTTTGTGTACGCCTAAGAACAATCAAGCTTGCAGATTTCATTCGCATTCAATACGATTGTTATTTCCAAATTACTTACAAGACCTGTCTTGTTCCTCACCCCAGCTGACACTGAGAACTACAGACGTCCTACCCATATAATATAAGTACCGTGTTACAGCCTATATCTAGGTGTTACGAAAGTCCTGAGACTTGCTCCATCTGGAAAACATAAGTTGACCTAGTCTCCATTAAAAAATTGCATATCGCACTATACTATAGGGAAATAAAGGTGACTCCACTACAGGAAATACAGGGTTCATAAGTTGGCAAACAAATTAGCAAAAAGGAGCCCCGAACCCAGGTTTCATGGTAGATACCAAAGCTCCTCACTAATTTTTAAGGAACTGGTGCACCACATTGGATTACAAGTTGGACTTCAATTATAGACCTGCTATTGCAAAGCTGCTACTAGAACGCGTAACCCGACCTGGTGTTCTTTTACCAGATCAATCGGTCTTGTTTGCAAGCTAGTTTGAGATAAAACTAGTGACGCAAATCACTCAAATGATTCGACTGTCAATAAATCATTCTCAAAACATGTCTCTACATATGAGGCCAGATAATTTAACTGAATGAGGATCCATTAATGATGATTAAAAGCAATAGGCCTTCTAGTATAAAACACCCAAAGAATGAGGGAACGTTTTGGTCAACGTGCAGCTTATCCTACTTTTCATAATTCCAGTGAAAACTAATGGACTATACCGAGGTTTGAAATTTCGTAGTTTGCACCTGTCCAACCTTATAATAGGCTCAGCTACGTCTAAATGCTTAACGCATATGAAAGTGTTAACAAGATCCCAGTAGGAAAAATACTACTCTTTCACTTACCAACAACAAATGACCGGTACTGATAAATGATTACAGTATATCATGCCTCAGAAACCTAAATAACTGGAACTTTGTTAACATAACCAACATATGTAGGAAGAATTTACAAAAAAGTGATGAACAATTATTTGTTTTAGCCTATTCATTTTAAAAACACAACGTAGATAGTACTTTAATGCCCCATTCCAGGAGGCCGGACAGGCGTATTATCTTCAGCACCCTTTGATTCCGGATTTTTGATCGTTTCGTCTACACTTAACAGAAGACAAGCCGCTTCGGTGGCCGATATTATGGAATTGCTTTTCACAAGTGCTGGTTCCCAGACGCCACTTTCGAAATTGTCACATACGCACTCTTTTTCAATGTTAACGCCATACCAAATATCGCCTAAAACGATAACAATGTGAAATATGATTAAAATGTGCAGAGTTTTATTTCCTGGAACTAAAAGTGAGATTATGAATGGTAAACATACTACATTATTACTTGTCAATTTTCTATGTTTTGAATACTCACCTTTTCAAGTCTTTAGATATATCAGACTATTAGCTTTAGTTGTGGAAATTAATGAGAATCTGTCTGAGTGTTGCACAGACGCAGTCCAATATAAACCATATAAATGAGCTTGATATTTGATTGTCAATCAACCAATCTCTAACTACCAAGTAAAAGCTACAAACAACTGTGTAAGAACTCATATACTGCTCACTGCCTTTTTAAAAATACAGAACTTATTGGTTAAAAAAGAACTTTATGAGTTATGGCAGAGTATTGATGAATTAAACTAGAAATTACTAAGAAATTGGTTGTGCTTGTTACTCTAGATATCTCTCTGAAACATACAAGTAGGTTCCACAGAAAACCAGTGATTCATTGCTTTTTTTCAACTGGCATTAGCGTGCATACAGTTATAACTACTTAAATCTTCAAAAGTTGTATGGAAATAAAGATAACATGATGAGTTAGAAAACGATGTTTAGATTCAACGCTGAAACAACTTATTAATTCGAATAACTATTGATTGAACCACTTAGCATCCAATTATAAGGTCATAAGTTAGAACAATATATTTACTTTGGTTTGAATAGCTGAGCAATAATGCTAACTTTCACATACATAAGTGGATACTTAATCTAGTACCTGATAAAGAAGTTACTCAGATTTTATGTAACGTATTAAAATGACTATGATACCTTTTGCATGACTGTGACGCAGTTGGTTTAGAATAATAGTTGAGTCCAATCCAGCATTATCGCACAATTGTCTAGGGATAACTTCAAAAGCTCTAGCCATAGCGCTTATCAACAGTTGTTCACGCCCACCAATTTGAAGAGCTTCTTTGCGAAGATAGCCACTGAGTTCCATTTCGGCGGCTCCACCACCTGTATGGAGAAAAAATAAAAATCATTAGTTCAACATGTTCAAAAAGAACAAAAAATAATTAAACGATTTACTTACCAGCAACAAATGCATCATTTTTAACAGCTCTTCGAACTACCATGATAGCATCATGCAGTGACCTTTCAGTTTCTTCCATAAATTGTTCAGCTCCACCACGAAGAATAATTGTGCAAGTTTTGGCTTGCGGACAGCCTTCAAATATATTAAATCTTAAGTTATAGAAAAAAAGAAACACAAAGTGTACTATAATAAAGCAAAATATATGCAGCGAACAAGCATGACTCAATTGATAATATTTCATTCCGTGTTTACGGTTTTTTTACAGGATGAAGTGAAATCAGAAAACCTGTCTAAAATAATAATGACTCGGTGTTTATTGTCAGCTTGTACATTGAAAATGCAAAGCCAATACATAAGTTCATGACACGAAACACTTAGTTGAAACAAATAAAATATGACATGTAAAGCGAACTTTAAACAATACATTTTGAACAAGTCTCAAGTATTATGAAGTTTAATGAACCTATTAATTGTGCATATTAATTAATAAATACATGTGACATAACTAGAAATTACTAATAGAAATAATGTATTTGTAATATCCCAAAGAGTAGAAAAATTACGTTTCTAATTTTCTGACGTTTCGGGACTCAGTGTAAGTCACTCCTTCAAAGAATAAATCAACAAATTAAATTAACCCAAGTTTAAATAATACAAAGAAACCAAGCAAGAATATTTGGTGAGATCAATCAAAAACAGGTCTGACCAAACTTAATTTCTCTACTTATTGAGATATTACAAATATATTACTACTATTAATAACAATCAACCCAATGTTCAATTTATTTAAAATTATCAAGTGAAACTTTGGTAATGACTTCTACAAACTGGAAATTATGCTTGTAAAGTTTATTTTTTGACACACCTTTCTGATCCAATCTGAATTTCCCCAAAGGATTCACAAGTTCCGAGAGCATTATCTGAAAGTCCATGAACAGTTGTTTGAACGCTTCCACCACAAGCCATTTGAGTACGTTTTAGATCATCTTCAGGTACACGACCGGCACAAAACATATCACGATCAGCAAAAAACTGAGTAGCGACATCTCCAATGGGTAGCTTGGATAAAACAATTTGAACCCCTTTTTTATATAAAATATCTAGCTTTTCATAAAGGATTTGCCACTCAGCATCAACTACCTTCTGGTATTCCTAAAATTACAAAGTATTTAAATGATGGAATAAGATTCGTACCTCCACCGAAGTGACACGAATTTCGGCATTCTCTTTCTCAGCTTTTAATTCTAATTCAATATTTAAAAGTGCAATTTTCGGTGACTTGTAAGATTTGGGTTGCATTTCAAAACCAGCATAACTGAAGGTTTTTTTAAATGCTACACCTGCAATTAGAAGTGAATCTTCTAATGCTCCACCAGAAACCTAAAAATAAAAATTAGAGTTAAGAAACATTAGCATATTAATCGTTAAAAAATAAACAAGGACAAAAAATAGATTACATTTACTCGACTTTATTTTGAAAAAGATGTGATGGACAAATATATTTAAGTGTTCGCATAGAAATCACATCACTTGATAAGTGTGAAAGCCGACATTTTAAACAGTTGTTTTATGTGAGGGCATAAAAAATCCGAGAACTTTAATGGTAGTTAGTTCCTTCGCTGAAATTTTATTACGTTATTTGCAGACATGTGATATAATCTTGTTATTACATACTGTTCGGGTCAAAAACAATGGCTAATAAAAGATAGATCAGGTTCAAAAGACATAACCATTATAAGTGTGTTATGGTTTGACTGATTGAATATTCTGAAATTTGACTAGTCTTGTATAAGGTATTGGCGTTTGAAGCGAACGTTGCAGGGTTCAAGTCCCAAAGTGGGCATTAACTCTAATATGTAGGTACACCCAGCTGATAAGTCACAGACAGGAAGAAACGCACGTCCTGGATTACATTGCTAGCGGCATTTTATCTATTTTACATAAACTTGTATCAACGAATATATCGAGGCAATTTGTAGGTGTACATATGCCAACCAAGACTGATCAAATTCCAGTCAAAATATCAATAACAGGACTATTTAAACTAATATAAATGCTAAAGAAAATTTTCAATAAGTGATTTAAACGCTCAGTAAAATGAGACCGATTATTTTAAAACAGATCATTTCTTAAGCAAATGAACATTCAAATACGTCTTGGATTTCTCTTGTGACATGAACTCACTACTTTGTAGATTATGACAAGAGCAATATATCATGCTTATTCAATATCCATTCTAACCGATTGGATTTGAACGTAACCCTACAACCGGAATATGGGAAAATAGGATCCCTTCTTATAAAATATTCATCACAAAACACATTTAAATTTGCCGCGTATATATCATTTTCGGTATGGGGTTGTGGAGATTGTTGAATTTCATTTAAATCATGAACTGATCAATGTTAGACCACTTTTGAAAACCTGGAAGCACTGGAAAGTTGTCTTGTTCCAGTATGGAACTCCTCAGCTGGGCTCGAATAAAGGACTGTTAGATGCCGGCTCAGTGGTCTGGAAGTTGAGTTTGAGTCCCACATGCGGGATCATGAGTGTGCACTGGTAAGGAGTCCAATACTAAAAAGAAAAGGCCGTCCAGTGCTTCCAGATTTTCAGTAGTGGTTTGACATTGATCGACCCGTGATTTCAATGAAGCATATAGATCACTTATTCGGAATGGACTTGAGTGATGATCAATTTAGATGGTTTGTTTACTTAAGTATCGTTTCCGAATATAAACCCACATTATTAAGAATATATTACGGCTTAGCTTCGCCAAAAACGTCAAGATAATACTACCGTAATTGAAGCTCACTACACTTGAACGTAGTTCCAATACTTAACCTTGCTTCAATATCGACTGTACGAAAACGTAAAGCATCCTAATACATGCTGCGGAACTATAATGAATTGACATACAAACGTAGTGTCATTTAAAGAAATGATACTAAACACATCCAACTTTTTAACCCTCTATCCCAAGAGCGATCTAAAAATTTTGAAGTCAACGAACTTACTACATTGACAATAATCACGAGTAAGTAATGTTCAGAATTAGGTAATGATAAACATGATCAAGCACAAGACTTTGCAACGGAAATTATTTATAAACTAATAAGAATCTTGAGAATATTTAACCCGCACTGAAAAAGAAAAGCCAAGTTGGTGCCATTTTAGAAAAAAACAATCTAAATAACTACACATGAACATCTCAATTCAGATTTTATCAACCAACAAAATGTTAATTAGCATAAACCATAGATGCTTGGCCCTAAATGCCCTGGTACGGCCAACAGTGGGGAGAATCAACTTTCCCTCTTGAAATGCTCTCATACGGCCACGCGCATACAGCCACTGCCCTCTCGCGGTAGGGGTTATTTAGAAAATTGAGAGGACGGATAGAATGTCCGGCGCTTTAACCGGGTTGGTGGATACGAAGGATCTACCTAGGGGAATCGTCAAACTTTGATTCCAAACGAATGGTGCGTATGGGCCCCAGGATCCAGAGGGAACAAATGGCGTATGAACCTATTGTTGATCATCGGCTACCATGGAATTGCATCTCCTTACACTGATCCACTGCTTTGGGGATTAGACCTCTAGGTCAAAGGCTCGGAGTGTGACCCTCTAGGAAAGCCACCTGCTCCGGTTTGGGTGTTTGGGCAGTATCTTAACCTCACAGAAACCAAATGATTTATGTAGCTAATATCTATTTGGTGCCTCCTCGTACCAATGTTTTACGTTTAAATAAATAAACAGATGCTTCATTACTATTTTACAGGCCCACCAACAGTGAGTAAAGTTATCTTCATGAAAAGTTACTTAGAATGACTCGTTTTTCGAAGGGATATGAAAAGTATTTTAACTGATTAAGAGGAAAAGTCGAGACAAGTACTATTCAAAATAGATGTAACAAGGAATTTATGGTGGTGAGACTTTCCAAAGAATAAAAAAGGATTTACTAACATTATAAAATACATATTGATCTTGAGATTGAATGAAAAGTCATACAAGTTTGCTGACAATAGAGTATATGGTCAACAAAGTAGGGACAAGTATGAAGTTTCATGTCAAAATCAACGCAAATAAAAGATTAGGCCTTTACTTGTATATAATGGGATGTCAGAGCAGCATACTAACCAAGTAGGAAGAAAAAACTAAGTGTCGAAACGCTTTAATAACGATGACTAATTACTTACCTTTTTGATTCCAATCATCTTCAACGGTAAGTATGAATCCAGCAAGCTGACAGCATCAACGACCAATTTGGAGAAAAACCGTTTATATCCAGCTACTAACTTAGAGCTTAAAGCAGTTGATGCACACTTTTCCAATAGAGCACGTTGTTCGCTGGAAAAAAAGTATATTGGAAGAGTGATATGGAACGAAATAACCTGTCATCAAAAATTGCTTTGAAAAATTTTGACAGTTAATTTTTCAATAACTCTGAATATTCATAGATCTACGTGATGCTATTACCAGTCTGAATAAATGATAAACTCTAAAAACTCCAATACTGAACTTAGTGAGTCACTGAAATTTACTGATGTTTGTACGTAAAAATTCTCACAAAATTATTTGGTTTCGAGGAAGCCCTGACAAAAGGTAAACAAACAATCAGCTCATGATTAAAACTATGAGAATTCTACAAATTTCACAAACCCCTTTATACTAATAATGATTACGTGTTCATTAGTGACTAACGTTTAGATGTAACTCATGGAGTTTTGGTGAGAAGCCATGGCCAGTAAAATCTAACGTAGTTTGGTGTGGGACAGTCATTCACCACAGATAATGAAAGAGGGCCATGCAATGTTGGGAATCAATTGAAGTTGGACATTAACACCACCGACAGGTCGGCTTAGTGTTCTAAAGGTTGAGCGTTTGTAAGTGGGATCGAAGCTCCTGGGTTTGACTCCTGCATCCAGAAGTCGTAAATTCACACTGCTAAGTCCTATACTAAGAAGCTGTCCAGTGCTTCCACTTTTTCAATAAATGTCTAAGATCAATTTGTGACTTGAACTATGGGCACGAATAATACTCAAAGAGCAATTAGTTATGAATCATTCTGCAAACCTGGCAGAACTGTATTAACATTGTGAAAATGATAATAATTATTCATTAAAATAGGTAAAAACCTTACCTAGGATTCTCTTGTTTAATTCGACAAGCTATAGCTTCTAATCGCTTTAATGCCATCTTCTCACCAAGGTGAAATGCCCGAACAATAACAGATGGATGAACTCCTTCTTCAAGAAATGGCTTAGCTTGCTTCAGAAACTCAGTAGCCAAAAGTGTAACGCTTGTTGTTCCATCTCCAACTTCGGCATCTTGGGCACGCGCAATATCGACTAACGTACGTGCGGCAGGATGAACGATATCTAGAAGCTTCAAGATTGTCGCTCCATCATTCGATATGGTGGCCTTTCCTTTGTCATCTATTATAAGCTTATCCATCCCACGAGGACCCAGTGTGGAACGGACTGCATCAGAAACTGCTTCACATGCAGTTATATTGCTTATTATCTGTGGAACCCCCTGTGATGAGTCAGTGCCTTCTTTCAGAAGAATAATTCTAGCTGGTTGCTGTAAAGGAGTGAAATATGTTTGTGTAATGATGGAAAAACTACAAATAAATGGATGTGATTATTTATACTACAAAGATGTTTCTGTGGCCTGAAGTAAGAGATTAATCACATGGTAACCAAAATCACTAATTTGAATTAAACATCTTTCATTTATTAGACTTACTTTTTTTTTGTAAGGTAAGCAAACAATATAGACAACTTATGAATTATGCGAAATTTAGTGTGCTGTGCTACGAGACACATCCACCGTACAAAAAAAGATTACTAGGAAAAGATACAGAATTGTAACTAATGAGCAGTAACTGTAAACATTACTGTGAGGTACTATAGATTTGTACAAAAAATTCTAATATGATAATTGGGTTACTTGCGAACACTTTATAGTCACAACTGATAATAAATGAACTGAACACCGTGCATATCATAAAATAGCCAAACACTTCCAAAAAGGGTATGACCTGAAGATATACGAAATGGCAATGAAAACTCCACAATAAAACCATCTAGCTTGGGGAACTAAACATCACTGAAAGCACCCACCTGGGCTGCGATTTTCATAATCAAAAGTTTGGGTACAATCATCAAAATGAAACACCTGAACTTGAAAAAGTATGTCAGGTTATCCCGAGACATTGTATGGAACCAATGCTCATTTAAGTAAATAAAGACTGAGAACAAAATGTTCTAGCCATTCATTATCTAGCTGATTTATTTGACGATTAAACTTTCGAAGCTTACTGACAATTACTGTCGGAAGTCACTACTGTGGTTGATGTTTATTTGATTTTTGCTGATGACAGCATGTAACGTAGGGACCTCAGCAAAAAGGAGCACAAAACATGTGTTACACCGTTGCTAACATAACGCTAATCTATGACACCCTTTATTGGACTCTGATACTCAAAAATGTCACTTCGAATCCAGGAAGAAGTAAATTACTTATGATCAAAAAAGTCACTAAAAGATAGATATTCTACCATGCAGATAATAAACTAGATGGAAAAAGCAAGTCATCACTGTATGAAACGGAGCTGTACATAAATCTACTTGTGTTGTTTTACATTTCAAAGGGATAAGTTAGTTGCATGCAATTGTCTCAGCGATTTGGCCAAACGCTTCACATGGAGACTTCCTAATGCAGTGAAAATCAACAAACGAGCATGGATTTACACATTCAATAATGTTAAAATAAATACAGTAAGACATAGTAACCCATTCACAGTGATACCATTTGAAAAATACAGCTGATATCCCAGATATTGCAAATTGTATACATAGGTGGTTACCAGATTATTCTACAGGCCATTAAGGGTTTTGATACCCATCCTGTGAAACAAAGGATGTCACACGCTAGTCTCCCATGCATAAAACTTGACAACAAACTACCAATCTCTTAAACAACAAGGCAATTAAAAGAGACTTGACTTCCGTGATATAAATAAACACGATGAAAGTGCTAATTGTTTTGCAGAAAATCTCGATAAACAGAAGCACAGACCTCTGGAATGATAATATAACAGAACCATACACTTTCAGCTCCTTAAAGTGAATGAGTGTTTACTAACTACATCTTTTCCTCCCGTCTAGGGCTGATCATTTGAGAGGACATTCAAAGAAAGTCCAAAAACCGAGATCAAATCGTCTACGTCTGGAGTTTCGTTTTTCGCACCGAGTAGTGAATTACTGGAATTCTCTACCAGAACACGTAATATCAGCACCTTCTGTTGATATATTCAAGACGAGATTGGACCTCCACAGTGTAACAAACTGCAAGGATTAAAATAGGTCACTAGACCTCCTATCCTTATTACTGAAGACGATGAAAGTGCTGATTGTTTTGCAGAAAATCTCGATAAACAGAAGCACAGACCTCTGGAATGATAATATAACAGAACCATACACTTTCAGCTCCTTAAAGTGAATGAGTGTTTACTAACTACATACAGCTGGAGCCATTTTCATATCACTAACCCTTTCTCAATGACAATTTACTTCCCGATGAGTTTGTGCATGACTTTAAGTAACCGACATTTCCACACATCTTATATTGACTGACAAATCATAGAAATAAATATGTGAGTGGCCGAAGTAGGGTATTTAATTGATGACACGAATATACAAAAAAAAACAATCCATTGTGTGAAACCTACAAGCATGGTTACTGTGTGTACCGCGCGCGCCCCCAAACTCGCAAACGAAATGGATAAGTTAAACTAACTTCAAGAGAACAAATAAGACTTATTCAAAAACATTTTACCTCAGTGTTTGACGTTCCTTGTTGATTTTATATCATTTCACCTTCTATATTTGGTTTAATAGGATTTCGGGGATAAATGGTCAGCCAATCCTACTAAGCGAAGTTTCATTATCCTAGTTTGGAAGATGTACGAAAAAGGAAAAAAAACAAAATTCAGTTTATTCATGACCAGCTTGCACAGTAATTGGCTTCACTAGACTCACGTTCTGGTGATAAGGATAGCTTTGAGATCTATGTGTTAATCAGAGGATGAGGAATAGCAATTTATTGAATAACTAAAACAAATAAGGAAAACAACACATGTATATGCCTGACCCCAAAGAGCTGTCCATACTGCGGTATTTGTACTAACTGACGATATCTCTGTTCTTGACCACACACTTATTACGAATTCCAAATATAATATGTCCACTTGTACTTTTTCAGTTTTATCTGCCTTAAACTGCACTATTTCGAGAATCCTTAGTTATTGAATCAATTCGGACACTTTTTATTATCATGCTGGCGTCATGATGAAGTCGAATTTCGAACAGCTGGATATTAATTCAAATGAATATGTCTTTGAAGACTACCTGGAGCTGTTTCAAATCTGGTGCATGACAAGAAAAGACATTAAATATAATAAATGCGCAGCTCATTTCTTGTCATCCATTGGTAAAGAAGCGTCTGACCTGCTAGAAAATATGGCAATCCCGAAGAAACCAATTTGAATATAATATCAATCCCTCGAGAAATTGCTTAGTCATGTGCAGAGTCCTAGCTTTGAATGCGGAAAGAGATCAAAGTTCCATAAGGTGATACGACGAAATAATAAGTTAAAGTCATTACATTTGAGCTACAGAAACAGCCCGCGAAGTGCAAATTTGGGGGATGATTGGAAATTCAATTTCATGACCGGTTGATTGCTAGAATAAATACTTCGAATTTAGAAAGATAATTAATTCAGAAACCTAAAAGTTTATTCCAAGAAATTAAAGTAACACGTATCAACTATGAGGCAATAAATAAGCTTGATTTCCAGTCAGTCAAATTTCTCAATAATCCGCTTAGTTGTTGCTATGGTCTACATTCTCAATAGCTCTCAAGCTCTCGTTTTGATTAATACGTATCCCCATTCCCGTGGAAGTGTGAAAAATGATTCAACAAAGAATGACAAAGCAGGTTGCGAAGTTGAACATGGGCTTGGTAAATGTTTATCCTGTGGTAAATTTCACGTAATCCATATGTCTTTCGTCATGCTAAATGCTTTATATGTAGTAAAAGTGGGACACATTATGTTGGTCTGTAAACACTCTTGTTCCGGTTCTATCACGTTGGATGTTTATAATAATCATTTATCCTTAATTTTTGTAATCAGAAGCGGGTATTTACTTCCCTTAGTTCGTTCCATGACTTCATTGTGGACACATGCAGTATACATTCCATTATTTCATTTAGGAACGTAAAATCTTTAGATTCTAACGTTTTGGTACGACCCATAGAAGTCTCAGTACTGGTGATTACTGGATGTACGAGGATGCTGGGAATCGCTAGTGTAAAGTGATTATTTTTCACACATGCCTTGTGAGTTATTATTATTATTACTCATGGTTCTGATAAAGTAGCTCATGGTCAGAAACTCAATGCTTTATTGCGTCGTTTAATTGAGAAGAATATTACGGTGAATCCAAATAAGTGTTCATTTTGTGTACCTAGTCTTGACTGTTTTTGGTGCTTTGTTGATGATGACGGTTTTGAACCAAATATGAAACAAGTAGCTCCACTAACGGATACATCATCTCAAAATAATATTACGAAACTAAGTTTGCTAGCAGGTGCTCTTCGATGTTATTCTTGTTTTATTCCTAATTTTTTCCCCTTGACCCCATCGTTTATTTCAAATCTTGACATCTAATCAATTTAAATGGGGTGAGGAACAAGAGTCATGCTTGCGAAGTCAACTAAAGTTTCCTCTAATTGATGCTGTTCTTCGTACTTACTCTCCCAATGTTCATACTGAACTTATTACTGATGCATCACTTGTAGGTATTGGTGCAGTTTTTGAACAGAAAGGTAGACCGATAATCTGTGTTTCACGCACACTTACTGCTTCGGAAGAAGGCTATCCATAAACTTAGCGAGAAACATTAGCTGTGTTTCGGGCTGTCAAAAGACTTCATAAATATTTAGTTGACAAGAAATCTGCTGTTGTCTCATATCATGAGACTTCAAAGTTCATCTGTCATCTTGAAAAATCCTTGGCACGTTCCTCAGATTCCATGGTTCAACGATGTAGTATTGCTTTCAATGTTTATGACTATACGGCCCAGCACAGGAGTGCCAAGTGAATTCAACATGTTGACTGCATTTCTCTGCAATCATTATGGACCTGTTAATATTTCACAGTGTTTGTAAGTGCAACTTTTACTGGTGAGACGTCCAGATCTCATCAGAGGAACTCGTAGATACATTGGATGTATACTTATTGCTATACGAAAAGGTTGGAATGCTAATCTGAAACGTAGGTTTCCTGTACATTTTCCAAAGCGGGATTAGCCATAAACTACCTCCGAGGGTATTTGTGTCTAAATGATAGTGTTTTTATTCCTCAATTATCACGTAAATCCGTCCTTGAAGATCTTCATAGTGGATATTTGGGTGTTGAGAAATGAAGTCCTTGGCAAGGCTCACATATTAGTACCCGGGGATAAATACAGATATATGTCGTACTGCGAACAAGTGTGAAAATTGTCATAAGTTGAAACGTCAGCCTTTGAAATGGACTCAACGACAAATATCGTCTGAGGGCGGACGAAGAATTCACGCAGATTGTCGTGGGCCATTTCTTGGCCAATACTATGCACCTGTAGTCACTGATTCTTATTCGAAGTCGTCCGAAGCTTTTCTCAAAACTTCACCGAATCGTTGCTTTACAATCGAAGAATTAAAAAACGCTCTTAGTTGGGAGGGGACACCTATAGTATTAGTGCCTGATGATAGCTATCACTTTGCTGTAAACACAGTCAATTCTCGGTCGAGTGATATAGGGTCTAGACATCTGTTCACTGCTCTCACAAACTTTTGTTCTAGTGGTCAGGCGGAAAAGTTCGTCAGAACATTATAAACTACTGCCAAATTGCTGCTCCAACATTTTATGAACTAGATAGGGGAGTAGATACATTTCTATTGCAATATACAAGCGCTGAACATTCTGCAACGAAAGAGATCACATCAAATTTATCAATAAGAAGGAATGTTCATTCGAATATGAGGTGTTTAGAGTCTTCGAAAATTACATATTATCGTGGAAATGATCTTCGACTAGCCACGAGGACCGTGGCAAAGAATGTTGGAAAATATATTGTTCAAATTCCAAATACCGATAACGTGTAGTGGCTTAGTTTTGTTAATCAATCACCTTGATAACCGTCATTATATAAATCGCAACTGTGTTTGAATTCAGAAGGCAAGAAGAAGCGGGGACTACAATTTATTAGCGGATAGCACAGATAACAGTTACAAGCACATCGAGTGAATTGGGGCAGAGATGCTAATATGTGTGAGCGAGCGAATACATTGGAGAACTTGTAGTCAAATCGAATCAAGATGCAGCAAGATAAGGCAAAAGTTATTAATAGGATTAGAGCACATATAAACACAGGGAAGAGAATGATTCGTCGAGTGATATGTAAGCTAGAGAGAGATATCTACGTCAGCTGCCATATGATCAGGAGTACTTGTTTACACAGGCATGATAATGATCACAATTGTACAAAGAAATAGACGAGTTGTTAGTGTCCGAATAACATTCTGTTAAATAAGTTAATAAAACGACTTGACAAAAAGTTAACTAAAATCGGAATTGATTGTAGAAGAGTTGCTATAATCTAATGCTCTAATCAAATGCTGAAGACTTACAAAGCTACTGATTTTAACTTTTTATTTACTTCTAAAGGTACACTGCTTCGACCAGAATGTTATATTTTTGGACTCGCAATTACCACAAGTGTATTATTTGAAAAGGTCTTCAGAATATTTCCTTTCGCGATTACCTAATGTCTGTTAGCCACTTGTTTGTTAGCAGAAAAAAGGGCTATGAGAACCGCTGGGTTTCTCAGCTTTACACCAGTTAAAAACCATAGAGAACTAAACAAATGATTCAACCTGTCATTAGCAATACTCATTGATGATCCCTATGGAGATTAAACCATGAACTGGCGCCAAGTGCTTCTGGGTTTCAATATCTCCTTGACAAGCCAACATTAGATAAAAAACAACAAATAGCCAGTTTTCTTAACTCTCTGTTCATGAAGCGTCCTAAAGATACGCCCTCATGATAGAGTGAATCATTCCATTACTGTAATTTAAAGTAAGTTGTGATACTAAAACTCAATTCTTCGAGACATCAACTATTCGCATGTTCTGATGACCCTATAATCTGTTCTGAACGAGTCGTTTTGTTGACTTGATACGAATAGACATTAATTCTTTGTAAGTTTATGGACGAAGTAGTCTTAAAATCCCTAGGGCATTTGTCGAGCAAGAATTTGATGTCAAAACCATATCCAAGGAACTGAATATGATAATTATTTATAATAAACAACAAAACTTCCCAAAATATAGTGGTACGTTTATTTAATTATCACCTTATTAACCTTGACTCTTGGATGAACACATATAATAAACTTGGGCTCGACCTTTTATGGAAGAAGAGACTCAAACTAAATAATATCTTCTTCAAAATACTTAATAAACTATCCTTTACATCCAACCAAGCAATTCAATATGCAAATACTTCACATTACGACATTCGTAACGGCTTATCACTAGCGAAACAAACATATTCTAAATTATCTCTCTATATGAATTACTTTGCCTGTAAGTTTTCTAGACTCTGGGATAATCTACCACAATCTATCCGTACGATAAAATCTCTCCCATTGCTTGTTCTCTGCATTGATGCATACTGCTCCTCTGAAAATGCATTAAATGGTCTAGCGCCTGTAAGTGTATCTTACTACGTAAATGAGATTATAGGAACTTTAAATGTTTAACCACATACCTACTGTCACTTTACATTAACATTGTCCCTAGCAACCTTATTTGAATAATAGCTAACATGAACAGTGGTAAACCTGACCGACATAATTTGACAATTATTGCTTTGTTGTTCCGTGCTCTCTGTTTTAATTTTACTTTCTCTGGTTGTAGATAATTATCAGTAATTCGATCTGGCACAGGAAATAACCTTAAATAACACCGTTCATAAATCATCAGGCTATCCACTTAAGAAAAAAATTAAAAGTTTCCTGCTGATGCATTGGATTGCCGTGATACATGTCATAAATAAACTACTTAACAATTACTGAACTAGCAAACTTAAAACAATCACATATCACATGTTTGTTTTCTACATCTAATGTTACTATTTATATCAAATTAATCATGCCTGTAAACTGGCGTGAATTCTCTAATTATTATTTTCAGAATATTATTATATATTTTTAAAATGCCTAAAAAGGACCAAGTGTATGGTTTGTTTGTCATTTTATCCCAGTCTATAATCATGTAAATAACTTCAAGGTTACTCATACAGTAACGAATGATCAAATATCAAGTATTTATCATTAAGTACTAGTGATCATTAGGTACAAAATATAATTATTACTTTATAGTGGGACTCTACTGTATTTCAGTGGACACAAATGTAAGAAACCAACGGTTCATGTTTGTGTTTCTTAGATTATTTCTACCCTACCTTAAATTACGCTGATGAAAATGAAAAACCAGATTACTTCTGTACCATTATATATATATATATATATATATATATACTTTTTATCACCAGGTCGAATGTACAAACAGTTGTCAAATTGTTTTCAGCATAAACATCACCAATAGTAGTAACGATAATAATATTATTAATAGTAACAATAATTATGATCGTAGTAACAATTATTATCAACAGTAATCATAACAGTATTAGAATTAGCAGTGCTAAGAATATAAATAGTCGAACTATAACCGTACACACACACACGCAAACAGAAAGGGTAAAAAAGTGGATGAGTGAAATAAGCCTATCAGTAAATCATAATAAATAAATTTATGTACAAAATATAAAATATATGTATGTTTTTGTGGGTATTTATAATGTAATAGTATGTATGTCAGTTAGTGCTTTCTAATATGCGTGATTGTGAGCAAGCTATAAATAAATGACATGTGTATGAAACCATAAAAACAAGATTTTCCTTTATGCTTATAGAAAAAAAAAGAGAAATTATGATCGCTAGCACTGCCATAATCATCTGATCTTGATATTCAGAGTTAAGTAGATAAAAATTGAGTGAAGTGGAAAGAGAAAGGAGATAAGAATTATTTTTTTATCTCGTGGCTTTTTCAATACAATGATAGAAAAGTGCAACGTTAGTTCTGAAGATATAAACTGGACGGATATATATATATATATATATATATATATATATGACAGACAGTATAAAATGCATTACAGAAAATTGTAATAAATCCATGCAAATCATGAGATTATTAATGTTTAGTTGTGCGATATTACTTTCATCTGCGCATATCATTACGTACTAAGTAGTATGTAAATGTTCCTTACATTTTTGCTTTTTGTATTTGTAACTTATGTTGTTAGACCATCGGATAAAAAGGAGAGAATAAGTAAACAAACAATATTAATAATGGAGACACAAAGTCAGTTTAATAACGATATACAAATTGAGTAGACAAAATGAAATGAGAATTGAATTTTGCCTAATTGAAAGACCATCACTGCTGAAGTTTAGATCTTCTCATATTACGTGTTGATTGAAATAAATAAAGTAGAATAGTGTAGAAGTAAAACACAAAATGAGAATTCGGAGGAAGGGAGGTAGATTCTGTATAAAAGAACCAAATAGTATTGAAAAAATGTAGTGTAGATGAGGGTAGACAATGAAATCATATATATACTCTCCTTGTTCATTCATTAGCTCCTTTTCAAATACATATGAATAATATTAACGATTTGATAATATACACACCTATGTGTATATGTTAATATAAGATAACTGATGAAATTAAAAGATACAAGTTAACCAGAAAAAGAAAACATTAAACGCATATAAATCATGAGATCAAAATTGTTTTAACAACAACAAAAAAAACAACTGGAAAAGAACATTGAATAGTAAAGAAAAAGTAAAACATGTGTACAATGGGGGCAACAAAGAAACAAAACAGAAAAGGCATAAAATATCAGATGAGATAATAATTTAGGTAAGAATAACTAGTTATCTTTTTGTCATTTAAAAGAAAGGAAAAATTCAGAAAACAGATAGTATTTACCATTAGTGTAACTCAATGAAATAATGACAACAAAATATCTGTTCGAAGGTGGAGTGTAATACAGAGAGAGAAAGAGAGAGAGCAAGAGGAGTTAGGAAAGATAACAGTTCTGTTTTACATATTTAATTTGATTCAAAGTTTCTATTGATTATGACATTTAAATTATGATTAACCATTATATACTGTATTCAACTGAACATTAGGTCTATCTGATTTACTTCCTTTCTTCTTGTAAATAATAATAATAAACACAATAGTAATAGGATTTGAACAGTTACTGTTCAAGAAAGAAATTCATTGTGATTGGACATTGAATAGTGAACATTCTTCTCCTTGTATTATAGATGTGAGTGCAAAAAGAAAATGTGTCAAATAAATAAATGATACTGAAGACTGTTCAAGATGTGGTTGTTTTATTTGTTACTGGAGCTGTAGCACTTGTTACAGGAATTGTATTAGTAATATTCAAACTAACAGAAGGTACCTGAGGAGCTCGTTTCTTTTGTGATACTGTAGTGGGAGGTCCAACAGAAGTATTACTACTATGTGGAATTACATTACTGGCATTAGTACTAGTAGGAGTATTATTTATAGTGATGGAACAATCTAATCCGAGATCAGAGGATGATGATAATATTTCGGTTGTTTTAATACCACCACTTTTATCTGAGTTAGAATTAGATAATTCTAATTGAGTTCTTTGTGCATCTTTGAGATTTCGTTCAGAAATATTTGTAGGCGTAGTTCTGTCCTCTATTTGTTCTATTCCATCACAATCGTTAGTAATCTGAAGTAAATGAAAACATACAATTCTTTAGAATGAATCACACAAATAAAAAAGATATTTGTTTTTGTATCTGTGACGTCAACTGCTTAAGTGGAGCAAATTACATTGCTCAATGTTCTTGGAATTTGTTTCCCCATTTTCGTGAACACTTTCCAGTGCAGCTAAACAAAAGTACAATCAAGATTATCAACAACTTCATCACAGTCAATCTAGACAAAACGAACCAAAAACCTAACATCAATCTGACATTTTCAATAGTCTACCATATCAAAAATAACTCGTCAAAAGTAGTCAGTCTCCAAATCCTTAAGAGAAAGTTGTAATAAGAATGTTTTAGAAACTTGAGATAAAATACACCTAAAAAGTGAGTTCATGCTAATTTCCCGCCTTAGTGAACCTCATGTTCGATAATCTAGAAGTGATCTCTATTATAAGATGACCCGATATGCTTCATGTATACATCCTCTTTAAATCCGTTCTCGTAACCATTTTGTTCCTATACATCCACACAACTTACTTAACGTTCACATCATATGCATTATCTCTGACTTAATGCCCATAATTCGGTTTATCACAAAACCCATGTTTGACCATTCCATTTTATTAGCAATTATGTTACTACTTCACTAATTCTACATTCTACGGATTTATCATAGTCATTATCCGTACAATTGGCGATGACCTGAAGCTCTATTAAAGAATAAATTGCATGCCAATCACATGAACATTTAAAACGCTAATAAAGTTTTTTAACGAATAATCCTCAACTTAGATAAAGTGGTTTGAAAGAAATCATTTAAATATGTAGAATGATCATTGGCGGCCTGTTTAAACATCTGGGCTACCTGTTCCTGTCATCTAGATATTTCAACAAGTTATCTGATTTCGTTTGTTTTAATACATCATTATGCCTATTAATCGCACAACCTATTCAGGTGCGTTTCTGAAAAGTGTAAGACCTTTCGCTGTAAAGGTTACAGAAGGCTTAATCAGAGATATCGTGGTTGCTGGCAATATTCAGCAAGAAGAATGTACATTATTCAGATGTCGATTGACTGGACTGCTAACTTCTAACTGGCGATCATTCAGTATTTATCGTCAGGAAGGACGAAGAAGTAAGAAACGGAAACTTGTTGAAGTACTTTGTGCTGAGAATTCTATATTGTACCAAAAATATAATATTGAATAAAGCTAATAATAATAATAATAATAATAATAATAATAATAATAATAATAATAATAATAATAATAATATTCGTTATGAATTGATCGTAGTTAGCATACCATTAAGAACAAGGAAGCATCGGAGAGCCATTTCGTCCTAGTATAGGAATCCCTCAACAATGTACATACTCATCAAGGTTCGAATCTAGGAGTGAGAGACTAACCTGTAGACCACTCAGTCGGCACCCAATGGTTTCATTTTTTAACTGAAATCAACTTTCAGTATTGCACAATCATCTTTCGATTGCATTAATGAGTAACTGCCTTACACTCTATATGGCTGAACTCCATTTGTCACTTCCTCTCATCAGAACTGTGAGATAGTTTTGATGGAGCAATTATCAAAAAACGTGTACCTTATGGGACTAATATAAGAGTTATTGTTATTATTTATACATTTATTGCATATTTATCGGATAACTGTAGCACTGTGTTTCCATATTGTCTTTATTGTAAGCTTCCAGTGAACCCACTAGCTATTGTTGTAAGTGTTAGTATTCCTTATTTATGGTTAATCATTCATTCACCTTTCCGCCCTTATTCTTTTCTACTTCTGAGGTAGTTACGCTTGTATTTTAATTTCATATTCATGTTAATGTATGATCAAGTAATTAATCTGCATTATTTTATGAGTCACTCACATAAGATATACTACCGCATTACTGCCTGCTGTGTTGTATTATCGGACTAAAAACTGGTTTAGAACAATGATATACGTTCGGGATCAATAAGAGTTAGGATTTTGTCAACCTTAGATCAACGTTAGCCTTCCCACTCAAAGCCTATACTTAGTTGAAGATTGGGAAGCTAGGCGATAACCTATGTAGTATATATAGATTAGTGACATATTACATGATTTTTAGTGATGTTATATCCCGTGGGGATTTATGAATGGTAACTTCGAGAACTATTTATAGACCAATATGATATGTATATTTCCTATTGTATAATTGTTAAGTAACTAAACTGTTCACATTCGTGTCCCTCTTATTATAAACTTTATTTTTACCTATAGACTATTATTATACGATTTACCATTATTGAGTTATCCCCAGTCCATTAATTACTGTCCCCCTATTCACAGTCACATTTGGCCAAATCTTGTACAAACGTTATTTACTATTTTATGGTACGATGTGGTCAGTTTGATTGGTATATAAACCCAGTATGTTTGTGAATAATGATTCATATTGCAGGGGCTGTTATTGGTGTTCTGGATTTAGCTGGCTAGGCTAGGCAGATAGCAGGATTGAGAAGTACTCAAGACTACTCACACGGCTTTTGTGTATCATTGGGCGATCAATAAATTCACTGCTCTCCAATTGGCGGTCTTATATCACCCAATCGATATAACAAGTGATAAATCTTCTCTCTCGATATCGTTTACATTTTCTTAATAACAATTTGCACTCAAAATTAGTTAATAATGAAAAAATAACTATTATTATTATGTACGGTTTGTATATATTGTCGAATTTTACAGTTTCTTTGACAGACTGATCTTACTTAGATAACCTACTCCTATGACTAATGTACTGATGTGCCAAGAATTAAATTACTGTAATCTAGTCAACCTGTTATCTATCAGAAACTATCAACATCATTATCAAATTGTACAAATCTCTGCACAAAACACCTATCTAAAATCTATTTTTCACTATAAATTGGAAAAGAAAGACAAAAAATAAAATAAACCACATACAGCTGTTTCATTAAATCCGTCATCTGGATAACAAATATCTTGACCTTCAAATTTTGCACGAGCTCTATTTGCTGCAACAACAGCAGCGGCTTCCATTGCTAGTACTCTAGGAGCTGGTCCAATACTAGCCGCTGCGATTGGTACGTTAGCACGAAAACGTTGTACAAGTTGAGTTAATTCTTTAGCTAATATAGCACGAGCTGATGTATTCGATGTAGGTATTTGTAATGTTAAAGCCAATTGTTGAGGATTTAAATCTGGATGTAAACCAATCACACCGCCATGTACGCCAGATCCATTTAAATTTGGTGCATATTCTTTTAGACCAATTTCATCTAACCAAGCTTGGACACGTTCACATGACCAAACTAATAAATCTAATTGTTGTTAAGTATAAAATAAGAGAGAGAATGGTGAGCTTTTCAAAAATATATGGTAAGTAAAAATAAATTACTTAAACGATGACATATCCCAGTATAGTTCAACAGAGGTAAGAGAAAAGCGGTTAGAAGTTTTATTCTCCAACATTTAGTCAATTATAATCACTCCACTGATCCACAGGTTGGTTTTATGGTTGTCTATAGAACACGTAGAAATCTAGCCAAACTTCTTAAAACATCAAAACCTCACAGCATTCATGAGATGAACCCGAAACTATATGTGCAAAAGAAGTATTCTTATCGTTATCTTTACAGTGGCCTTAAACTACTATCCCATTTTAGCTCCATTGATTTTGCATTTGATAGTATTTCTCACCCCTTATTTATCTTCAGAAAGGGATTTTGTGGAGATTGTAGTGATTTAATAGTTGAATTCATTTCTCATATCTCCACAAATCTATTCATAATTGTTTCTGACATCACTTCATTTCATTTTACCTCTAGAATACCTTTAATAATTGCAACAAAATTTTTTTTAATTATCTTACTCCTTTCACATTACAATCCAATGTTGACTTATTAAGTTTGTAAGGCTATTTATTTCCACACACTCTTTAGTTGTTTGTATGTATAATTTCATATTTTTGTACAGCTTGATAATAAATTCGTTGAAAAGAGACTCCTTAGCTGAACTACATGTTGTTAGTGTTTAAACAGGAATAATCTCTACTAAGTGGTAATTAAAATTGAATCAAATGCTTATAGGCAGTTATTACCTGTTTTTGTATCGAAATAATAACTCTATCTATAAAAGCTTCATCAGGTAATTAGATAACGATTCAATTCACTTTTTTAGTTAAAAATAAACGATCATATCTCATGGAAAGTGCTCAAACTTAGAAATGTACACCATTAGATACCATCAAACTCAGTGATCTGAAGGTCAAATGTATGCTGAGAGACGTAAGTCGTGGGTTTGATCCCCTGCGATTCTCGATGTGCACTGGTGAGAAGTCAGATACTAGAAGAAAACAGTTGTTCATAGCTTCCTGTTCTCAATGACTGTTGAACCAGAATCAGTTCATGATGCATACTACAATATTATAGACTCATCAATAATTCTTCTATTAGCTGTCATCGTTAAGCTGAACTATGATTCGTAATGGTGATAAAAACAAGTCGGAATATATTTGGGAATAATATGCCAAGTCATGAGTAATATGCATGAGAAACATCGTACAGAACAAAAAAGCAAGAATTTAACAAGAGAAAAAAAGTAATTAAAGAAAAGAAAGTTAGAAATTCTATAAATGAGTTTTTTAGTCATTAGAAAAAAATCAAATTGATTATAATACAGATAAATTGAATGGAACAAAAAAATAGAATGTTAACTCCAGGATAATAAAAATTTTCTATCAACACTTGTGACAAGACGATCCAAATATATAGTTTCTGTATAAAAAACAGTAGAACAGTTTTTGACTCTGTTACATAAGTATTTAGTCACTGTAATGGTAATAATATGAGAACTGGAAGAGAGAATGTGTAGGAGAAAGAAATAGTGTTTGTTTTCATACAAACTAACAGAAGCAATGAGTTGCATTAGGACAAGTTAAAGAAAAGTCCATTCATTCGAATTCAACGATTTAACAGTGTAATTTTAAGGTAGTACTCATTAGACATTGACCTCAGTTAGGCTACCACTGGGAGCATAGCAGTAGTACCCAAAAAATCGAATGATTATTATGCTATTTGCAAGTTGATTAAAGTTGGAAATGAGCACTACTGGTCCCTAGACCGGTGGTTTGTCAGTAAACTTGAAGGTCCTGAATTCGACCCCTGGAGAAGAGCGGATGGGGACTTCAAAGAAGTTCCGTGCTTGATTGAAACAACTGTCGAGCATTCCCTAGTTTTCAGTAGTACATCAACTGAATACAATCTACACATTAAACCAATCATCACAAAACTCTTTCAACTGAAAACTTCTGTTTGTTTTCCATAAAGACCGAAAATTCCGGAAAAAACCTAAATCAATCATTAATACACACACACAAACATATGTTGAAGTAAGCTTAGTAACCGTTGGGAAGCAGTATTGATTTTAGTTATGATAATGTGTGTATATGTTACACTCATTGCACTGAAATTGGTCAGTTAACTGAATTTAAACTGAGCCAAATTTATAACTGTGAATGTTCCATAAAGTTAAGTGAAATACTTCTAGAAAACAACACAACCTATGTTCCAAATGTAAAACAATCTTAGGGAATGAAATTTAAATACTTGTTATATTTCACTCAACAATCTGATTCAAAATTTCTTCGAAGAGAAATAATCAAAACTATCATGGAAGTACATAAGCCTTGTGAAGGTTATTTACTCGAACACTTACAGTCGCGTCAGAGCTTGTCACGAACTGTCATCTGGTTTTGTATCCTCAAGTGGCGTCCGTCAAAGTTGTCCACTATCTCCATTTCTGTTTAATTTCATCATAGACCTACTGTTGAAAATAACGTTCTCGTCGACTGACATGTAAAACATTCATGCAATAAAAGTCTTCTATACGAAGACAATTTATTGATAGCTTAATTGACTGAAGAATTTATCGTGCATGAAATAACTGTTATACTTTAGCTTGAAATTTATTACAAGTGTGCTACATAACTCTCTGTTCATATGGGAACAAATCCATAGCTTTCAGAAATTGTAACGAGAACAACATACCAGTTAGACTATTGTGTTCACGTAGTAAGAAATGTATGCAGTCTATAGTATAACCTTACCAACCTATAATTCTTCGATATGTAATTGAGGCTAACTTAAAATTTGAGTAATCATCAACAAGTCACTTATCTAAATTTTATAGAACAGATTGTGACTAGCAGTGAAATCTAAGGTTTACATTTCATCTTGTTTGGGATTTGTCAACTAGATCTACCTCCATCCTAATGTGTTGATGTTCACGTTGAGACTTGAACTAAGTACCCTTCGCTTTGAGTCAACATTCTATCACTAAGTAACAAACAAACTGACTAGTTGACTTATATATAAAACAAAATAAAACTAGAAAGTTATAAATTGTTCTAGAAAATATATCCAAAGTTAGGACAGCATCAAACGAAATAAATTCAATATTTATGATCAATGTTAATCATATAAATGTATTATTAGATAAATCCTTATTTATTTAAAATGTCATTCTCTAATCAGTAATTGAACATTTTTGATTTGAACAATGTATAAACAATTTATTCTACTTTCTTTCACACTATTTCATATTATCATCTATCAATCAATCAATCAATTACAAAATAAGAAAACCTATCACTTGCGCAAACAAAAGTAACATGTTGTGTTTATTTTCACTGTATAAAATGGTTGATTATTTCGTCAGTTCATTGGATATTATTTTTTTTTTCTCAATGTGTAACGTATCACTTACCAGTTATCATCATTTATTCTCATCTGTTTTAATGTAGGAAGTAACTACTACTATGGATTTAGTGTTTATCTTGTTGTGCTAATGAGGTATGGCAACTTGAACCGATGCATATATGTGCCTGGTCATACGTTGTAGCTGAGTGACTGACTGACATAAAACTAAGAATTAATTAACAAGAAGTTTGAATCATGTTTTAAAAGTAATAAAGGGTAGGTACTCAGTATAGTTACCTAAATAAAGGTGAATCCTAAATCAGTCAGTAGTTTAACTGTTGCACATCTGGTCGAATTCAGATCACCAATCTCTATTGGAATCTTTATTCAAAACTATTCATAAAGCTAGAAGAACTATTTCTAAGGATCGTTGAATAAGAAACTTATTTGTAGTAGTAGCTTTGGCAATTTCTTAATTCAAGCCTGGTTTCTGCGTTGTGAAGCGGTGTGTCTGACCCTTTATTTTAACAAAGGGCTCACATACCCCCCATTTTTTGCTATGTAAGTTGTTTTTTAACAGATTCTCATTCTAATATGGAGGATATGGTAGAGATGAATAAATTTGCATAGTTTACATCACGAACTGATCTTTGTTAGATCAGCATTGAAAACCAGGAAACGCAAGACCCCTATTCCATTCTAGTATGGGGGCCCCTCAGCAGTGAGCACCAGGACCCCACCACAGGTGATCAAACCCAAGACCTGAAGGCTCGAGCGTGAACACCTAACCCCTAGACGACTGAGCTAGTATTCCATGATGTGTATATTTAACTCCGATAAGTTCGTGGTGCTGCACTATAACATTGCAACACCTTACACTCGACATGGTTAAACTCCACTTGTTTCGACTTGTCATTAAAACTCTTGAGATTGTATCTTGACGTCAGTCACTACTGAGCACGAGATTATTAATATTAGTAGTAGTATAGAAGTTTTGTGAACATTATTAAATTTTTATTTCAACTAATTTCTGATGCCTTTTTTAAACAATTTTACATACCATAGACTACCACCATGTGTAAAATTACGTATAATAAATACAAACATACAGCTTTAGAGAATGACACTGTTGTAAAGAAAACTTTCTTTACCAAACTGTAATTTTAAGTGGGTAAATTGAATTGACTGAGTGAATTGTTTTATGTGAAGAACAAAACAAATCTGTGCTTTCAATTGCATAAATGCATCAATTCCAATTTACGCCTTATTATTCGAAATGTTTACGCTCAATCTTTTTACACTATGACTGTTAATTTTGTCTGTTTATCTGTCCATATTTTTTTTAAGATCCATTCTAATAGTTTTATTCTTTATATTGAATTTGCCTCCTCTTTTTCTAACCTGTTTTACTATGTGATAATGTGCGACATCAAATATAAAGTATTAACATTTACAATCTATTGATCGGTAAATAGTGATCAAGATCATTTTCATCTGGTTCATTTAGCGCTTATCAAATTCTATCGGTCAAATAGCATTGTGGTTTACTAGTTCAAGTGACTCAGCATTTCCCAGACTGTTTTGAAGTTAGATGGATGGATCCATGCGATGGAAAACTCTGAAACCAGGTTTTACTGTAAAATGATAATGGCCCCTCAAGGCGCACTTGTGCAGTGAACGGGAATACAAGTGAGGACAACCAGATGTATTTGAATACAAAGTTACAGAGTATGTCAATAAAATCTGAGAGCCATACAGTAAATACTCCATTTTCTAAATGTCAATCCATTGTCTCAGGTTCTATTGTTCCTTCATTTCCATACAAATCAGTCTCTGTTCTCGTTCTCTTCTCTTCGGTCTTCTCAACCTTCTGCCTCCAAGTATTCCACTTTTGATTGAAGATACATACTACTTATATCTCTGCAAACATCAGTAGCACACACTACTTTAGATAACTGAAACATTCAGCGGGATTCAAATCCGCATTCACTCAGCTTGATAATTGAAGATGTAAAAGGTGAGCTACTTTAGTCGAGACTAAACTCCTGTAGGAGTAAGATGTAATTACAATTGACTAATCACTGAACACTAAAATACTAGATTTTATTGTTTCATCCAGTTGAATAATTCATATCAATCCGAAATTGAACAAATTAGTGATTTCTTAGATTAAAATTCGCTTGAAAAACCAATTAACCAATTAGAAATTAAATCTAGCTAATTTAAGATGAATATTTTTATGTTTTTTGGGTACAAAGCTATGACCTGTACGAAATCAACTTGAAACAGAACCAAATAGATCTTGGAGCTGATAGATCTAGATAAACAAAAAACTGCTCTGTAATTTGAATCAATTAATCATGATCAACGTGAAGCTTGACACAAAAATCCATTGACACAAGCCGTTCTACTGTATTTACACAACAAGATGCAGTAGCAAACAAGATGAATAACACAGGAATCAAAATAGAAATAATTATGAGAAAGACTAAGGATTGAAAATAGGGTTCGAAAGGATTGAACGAAAAACGTATATGAGGGAATAATGGGTTTAAGAGTCAAGATAAGATAAGGAATAAATGTATATACGCCATTGCATTGTGAATCAAGTGAAGTTTAAAAATTTAAAATAATGGGTTCCAACAGGATATTAAGATAGTGTTGTATAGAGTCCTGAAGATGGACGATAAGTAGTTTCGTGTTCTTTGTTTATCCTAAGAATTTTGCATTCGATCTTATATAGGTTGTTGGCGAGTAATAATTTAAAGATATGAAGTCAGAAACAGACAGTTTCCCAGTAGTAAATTCATGGTTTTCAGTAGCTGTTATCAACTAATATAAGTCAACAGACTAAACAGTTTACAAATTATTCTTAAATAGAAAAAAAACCCAGTTACATTAAGATTAAAATATTACGTAAACATACCAATACTATCGGGATGAGCAGCTTCACGTTGTCTACGTTCTAATTCCAATCGATCATAATTTAACCGTTTTAAACAAACAATACCATATAATAAACTAGTCCTATGTAAATTATCAACCATTTTTAAATGTGTTCTTAAATCACGTTTGGTTAAGTGATCAAGCATCCGTGAATCAACTAAACATTCCATAAATGCTGGACGATATTGCGCTAAACCAAGACTAGGAAGCCATACATTACCAACCCATTCATGATTCATATCACCGAAAGCAAGACGACTATAAAAAATTTACATTAAAAAAACAAGAAAAGGTTAACTTATAAATTAACATGATGAAACATATTCGCCTGCATAATGTTACAAAGTATAGGCGCACATAAGCCAAAAGAGACTGATCAGTCGCAGTCCCAAACATTAATGGAAAGATCAAAACAATCAATACAAAAATGACTTAGACTTCACCCCATTACACAAGCCAATGGATACCTGGAATCAATAGCTAAGTGGATAAGGTGATGGCATTTGAAGCCAATAGTATTGGGTTCGAGTCTCCGAGTAAACATCAACTCTGAGATACAGATACGTCCAGCTGACGAGTCCCGAATAGGATGAAATCCACGTTTGCATTTTGAAGATATTATTTGTCTCTACACTTTTTGTAAAATAAACTAAAGTAAGGAAATTTCTCGATGTCAGAGAAACAAGAATCGCGAGTCTATAACATTGAAAACTATATATGTATATATATAATTTACCTTGTACTAGGCTTAGGAACTGGAGTTGGTGAAGTTAAAGCAACCATTTCTTGTATAGCTAAACGTAGTTTAAGTCGATGCAATGGATTGCTAATGCCAATTTCACGTTGTATTTCTTGTTCAGATAATGATGCCATTATTGCACCGGATTTAACATTCGCTCTACAAGCAGCTACATACCAAGCGGGCATGCTAACCCAAAGCTAAAAGGAAAAAAAGAAATAACCTTAGAAAATTTATTTACTGTTTTGAGAATAAAAATGTCTTAGTTAAACTTGGTTTACGTTATAATTATATGTTGATGACAGTAAAGTTGACGTTTTCATCCACAATATGGTCTTTGGAATGGTCGAAAGCTATTGTTGTAGATGTTAGATAACACTAATCAAAATCGATTGAGATGATGTAGACAAGCCATATTATTTATTTAAGCTTACATGATGAATAAAAGATTATTCAGTTCTAATCATTTCACACAATTTAATTTGTTTCTTTTAAATAATATTTTCTACACAATGGATGTACTGTGGAGATCAGTGAAATCCAGAAGCAGGTTTCGTTCTGCTCGGAACTGTATCGCAGTATTGATGTTCACATTCGAACTCAAATCAAACTGGATTTAGAACAACACATGTAAGCGAACAATTGTTTTCAATTAGATCGTCATCAGGCTTTACTCCAATATACATGAAAACTGGATTTATATTGATAAGTTGGGCCAACATGAAGTTATCCAAATGATAAGTTCATGCAATTGGCAAAAAATGGCTTGGATTTTTAAGGAATGAGACATGCCATTGATGATTTAATCCTCTAAGCGATAGATTCTAATTTCGCCTCAGTCAATAAGCTTCCATCTCACGCCCAGTCTTTTCAATTGTGTAGCCGACTGAGCTCGTGTTATTGGAAAATTCTGTATCAGCACTGAAATTGGTCACCAAACAACATAAAAGAAATGCCGACAAATGCTGACTGAAACTTGATCATGAGTATTAACACGATAATTCAAACCAGATCCCAAGATAATACGTTGTTTATGAATGATTAGCTGAGTAAAATCCCAAATGAACATCTATATAGAATAACATATACATATACATGTTGAAATATACTTAATATTGAATGGTATTCACAGTCAATCTCCAAACAACAGCAAGACGGCTAACATTTATAATGATAAATTCATAATATATATTTTAATACCCCACTCAATGAGCAAAACATTGAATTTTTGTTTTTTGATGTTATACTTATTTATTCTCTAAAGAAACAATTTACACTAATTTGACAGCATTTATAAACCCTAATTTACCATCCTTCAAAATATTACGTAAATTGTCATTATTATTACAAACAATCCATCTAATTCACTTCATTTTGTTTGAAATTATCAGGTGAAATTCTGGCGGTGATGCCTATCAACATTTATATTCATTGAAAATACCATGAATATAATTCTACCTTTCAATGTCATTATAATTCTTAAATAACCTTAGATGAATTTGAGAGAGGAAACAGGAATTTGTCCCATTGATGATATACAGAGTACGTGTATATGGAACATTTAAAGTCGAAACAAATAGTTTGGTTTATAAACGAATAATATAATTATACTGCTGACAAGAAAATGCTTTTCAAATTAGACGTAATACTCAAGAGAAGAAGTAAATAATACAAAAATAAGATAAATTATGTACCCATCAAGAACAATACCTACATAAAACCTATCCAGTTCATTATAGCATAATTTATGAGACAGTATTAATTATTCATTTTCGTGTTGGTTATTTGAATCTCCCTATTGACGTTTATGATTCTAATTGATCAGTCCCTTACTGACCTTCAAACAACCAATACAAAAGTGGCTTAAACTTCACCCCATTACACAAGCCAATGGATACCTGGAATCAATAGCTAAGTGGATAAGGTGATGGCATTTGAAGCCAATAGTATTGGGTTCGAGTCTCCGAGTAAATATCAACTCTTAGAAACAGAAACGTCCAGCTGATGAGTCCCATAGGACAAAATGTGCGCCCTGAATTCCACTGTTAGCTATCAACCATCTCCACTCATAAGTATAATTTAAGTTCCAATATATATTCTCATCTATGTACTTCAGTGTTTTTGTAACTAACTCATACTCATCAAATGTCTCTTGTATTAAATAATATGAAACAGTCCGGTTGATAGTAGTACAGTTATTTCTATTTAAAAAGTAATTATAAAGAAGTAATGATAACGATTCAATCGAAAATATCTTTGTCTTAGATTAAAATTGAACTAATATGGATGATGTATTTACGTTATAGGCGAAATTAGTACAGATTGATACTGTAATTCAGTAGTACAGTTCAATTTAATCCTAAGAAAATATTTACTAAATCGAATAGTAAATTAATGTATAAGAATTGTTGAATTATTTTCATTTGTTTTAAAAAAAACATATGAGAATATATTAACTCTAATTCAAAGGATACTGTGAACAATTACAAAAGTTTTAGCTAGTCAACTGGAAAACTTATACGATTTTGTTTTCAAAGAAACAAAAAAAGAGAATATCTAACAGACATTGACTATACCTCAAGCCATGCTACTACTGTAGGGCCATTCCATTGTGCAAATGGTAATCTAGCCATCATAGCTTGTTCTAATAACTCCTCCTTTTTCCAACGTCGACGTTCTTCAGGGACTTGTGGTGGTAGTGTTGTATTAGCCAGTTGACCACCACTACTACCCATAGTCAAAGACATAGGATTTGGACTCATTATTCTACTATTTGATGGAATAGTTGATTCAGAAAGACTTCCTGACACAGTAGATGACGACAGTGGTGATATAGATCCTCCAGTAATAAGATTTGGTCCATTACATCCATCATCTAGTGTTTAAGCAAAATGGAAAATACGAAAATAATACATAATAATAGGTATTTGTTAAATATTAGGTTGGATGATATGTTAACTTTATTCCAGAACACTTAAACCACAAGATAACAATCGATAAACAATTTACTCGAATCGATACAAGCTTAAGAAAACGATCCACCTATCCTTTTATATTAGAACCACTATTCATGATTGTCACCTCAGTTAAATATGATTTCACATACATTTTGTAGGGGTGTATCAAAAAGTGATATGACGACCAATGGCATAATCAATAGGAGTGATAATGACATATGAAATTGATTTTTGCCATTCATATGTAACATATATTCACGTCTTAAGAAGGAGTAATTTTATAGCTTAGTTAATTAGTTATACCTGTTAGTTATAGATGCATAATTGTATGAGTATGGTAAATATGTGTGCACACTGTAAGTTCTTGAATCATTATTGTTGAATATAACTGAAATGAATATATACCAAACCTAACTATTAATCTAACTGCAAATAAAGTGGTGTATTCTTAAGGCATTTTTGATTTATTTTGAGTGTCTGATAAATCTTAAATCTTAATCACCGGCCTTTGACTTTTGCATCTCACGCCTGTTCTCTTGTGTTCAAGTTGTCTTGTAGGATTTAGTCTGAGGTTATTAAAAGCGGCTAGGAAATCGGATCGAGCGTTCAATTAATAGACCTATCATAAAGTTCAGGTCTTTAAAATTTTCGCGTGTTGTTTTCAGTTATTTAATACAAGAAAGTAAGTGTTAGGTAGTCGCAGATATTCAGGAGAAAACACTGCAGTTAGATTCCGTTTCAGTTTGCCCTCATCAACAAGGTATACCCACAGTTTTGAAGGAACTGATTTCCCTATAAGGTTCGAACATGAGTCACCTAGCTTCATGGTAAGTTCATGAATGCAATAAAGGGTTTGATTCAAAAATGTCATCTAATAAACGGCTAACAACTTATCGCAATTATTTCCTAAATAGTCAAACGTGAAAAGTTTCTCATGATTTCAAGCTCTATTAACGTCCAAATAACTAAATTAACAACTTGTGACTGCATTTAATTCTCCCTAGTTTATTTAAAAATTATTCAGATAGTATGAAACAATGACATGGATTATTTTCTAAATTATTGAAAATGAGCCCCTTATATAAAGAAAATTATCTAAATACATTCATTTATATAAATTTGTACAACCCAGATAAGATAATGAATAATCTTTACGATCTTCAATCTCAAAAAAGAACAAGTAACATTGTATAGTAAGAAACATTTGACGAATTCTTTAAGAAGACTTTGCAACATTTCAGAAATAACCACCCATGGGTTTTGTTAAAACAGAACTTGTTATCATCATGTTTCTGTATTCAGAGTATTTCCACTTTAGAGATTTAGAATTCAACATGCGGTTTCATAAATTAAATCAATTTTAAAATAAGCACAAACGTCCTTTAATGTCCAAAATGAGCAATTGTCAACTTTTTCAAGTGCCTCTTCTATCTTTGAAATACCTTTCGAGATAGTTAGACAAACTCCCTTATTGGGTTCTAGCTACTCTTATTGCTTAGTAATCTTGGACACTACTTCACTCGACAAGTCCGCAAACCAGAACACTGTTGAACAGGAACGTAATTATATTCCGCATAACAAGGTTGGATTGAAATGCGAATCACAATTAGAAAAACGTTGGTATATTCATAATTTTTATACGAGAAGACTCTAGAGTCTTGTCCAAGCATCTGCTAGAGCTGATTGGTTAACGAATAGCCAATCAGAGTGCCCCAACACAGTCCCACACTGAACATGATTCAACCCGATCTACACTCCGTTAAAGGGAAGCGACAAGACAAACTAATAGAAAGCATTGTAAGGTGCCTAAAATTTTATGAGTACGATTGCACACAGATTTAAATCCTAATGAAGCATTAATTTATCCAAGAAAAGGTTGGTTTTATTGATATTTATCTAATGTCTAGAAAATTATGTCGATAATTAAACACTGGACACTTAGAAATTTAGTTACTACTGTACATAAAAGAACTAATGCGAATAAACTAAGTAACATAATAAAATTAGTATTCCTTATATGTTTGTTCCAAATTTAATTTACAGCCTAAAAATTATATTTCGAGAACAAGGCATATAATAGTCGATATTATTGCGACTGTCATTAAGAAAATAAAATCCAACTAACTAATAAACCTAAAGTTTATACGACTTTGTGTTAGTCATTTTTTAGATAGTTAACTTTTATCCATCGAATGTGAAAATATACGTTCATAGGTAAATGATTTGCTTGCATTTATTACTGGGTCTTGAGTGCTGTTAGAGGTATGAAGGTGAAAAATCACTTTCCGGTTGTCCATATCATGGAAGGGTGACTAATTACTGAGAAAGGATGGTGAAATTTACATTAACATGCTCTATGATTATTATCACATGTTTTAAATCACAAATGAAATTATGAAAAGAATGGTGATTCAATGGTAATACTCACTGCTTAATATTACTTTGTTTCTAGAATATGGATTATCATATGGAGCTAGTTGGATACAAAGGTAAGTAATGTAGAATACATGAAATATTTGTACAAATGCAGATATATTTCTATTCAAAATATCCCTAACTACTTACCTACCTGCATGTATCTATTTATCTATTCCTAACCGACTAGATTCCATATCAGTTTATTATCTCAAACAATATTTATATTTTTCATAGTACAATAACATCCTACCATCATTAGCATAAATAGTAAGGAAAAGAAGAATACAAACCAAAAAATATTCATACCATATTCCAAACCTTGTTGTCGTTGCCTAAACTGATACATCTGTTGTTGTTCTATAAGGAGTTGGTGCTGTTGTTGTGTCATTTGTGCTTGATTGGACATTGACGGGTGATACTGTACTGAAGGCGGTGGTGGTGGTAGTGGTAATGATAATGATTGATGTCCTCCTGAGCCGACAGCTATCGGTTGTGGACTCATAGGTTGCTGTTGCATAGAATATCGAATGTTATTGTTATTACTATTATTATTGTTAGTAGCACTATTATTTGTATTTGTATTATTAGTAATTGATGTATGTATCATTGGCGAACCAAGACGTATTGGTGGTGAAGCTGATATTCGCATTGACTGATTAATATGATTTGGTACAAAATAATAATTTTGTGAATATTGTGCCACATCAAATGGTCCACTGACAGTACCAACACCACTATTACCAGTTATATTACTTGACTGATTACGTCGAAATAATCGACCAAATGTACCAGATAACATACGCGATTTCTTCTTACTTGGTGTAGGTGATGGTGTAGGTGAAAAAAATGATTGTGTTGAATCTAACCGAGAAACTGAATTGATTTGTTGTTGTTGTTGACCATCAATAATGTTGTATAATTGATTTCTAGGTCCAATTGACCGTAGATAATTTTGATACAATCCTATAGGTTGTTGATGATGATATATTGGCATAGAATTCATTTGTAAATGGGGAGGTCTTGTTGAATGAGTAAACTGTAATTGTTGGATCTGCTGCTGCTGTTGTTGTTGTTCATAATCTCTTTGATAAAGTGGTTGTTGAGTTAACGTTGTCATAGGTTGATCCGAAATAGATTGCTGTCGGAACTGTAATTGTTGCTGATAAAACTGTTTATTCATTAATGGGATATTTTGTGCTGATGTAAGTGGTATTGTTTGTTGTTGTTGCTGTTGACCTGATGGTTGACCTTCGATTGTCTGATTGTAAACTAACGAGTCCGAAGCAGCTGAAGAGCCTTCTTCTTCAGGACTATCTACTGACATAACTGATAAAGAACTAAGTAAAAGAAAGAAAAATACCATTATGTGTGGTGGTGTTTTTTCTTCATAATAAAATTACTTATATTTTTATATTGCATGCTGATTCCAAATAAAGAAGCTTAGCCGATCTGATTATGCAACTGTTATATCTTCGATTTGTACACATGAAGAATAAACAAAACAATAAAGCGAACAAGTTCATATAGAATAAATGGAATGCTGCTTGCAGTAAAATACAGGATGCGCGTTTCGTCCTACTTGGGACTCGTCAGCTAGGTGGACCTGCATCCCAATGAATATCGACTTTGAAGGTACAAAATGCGCGTCCCAGATTCTACTGAGGGCCACATTCTATCCATTATATTCTAAACTGGGTCGCAGTAGCTATATCCAAGCAGTCTGCAGAAATTACACATATACCAACCAAGACTGATCAAATTTCCAGTCAAGGTATCAACAACAGAATAATCCAACTGATCAAACTGAAAAGGTGTACACTTAAAAAACACTTCATACCGAAGTACTTAACATGCGCATGTACAAACAAATGAATGGAAGTAATGCGTAGTTAAAATGCAGATAACAGTTTTAACCAACTGAAGTATGTACAACCAATGATAACAGTAGAAGTATTAGAATCTTTTCTCACAAAACTTAGAAAATCAAAACAATGACTGAAATAGTTGTTTTCTTCTTTACCACAATATCCAAATTATTTGTTCGTCAAGATGTTCACCATTAGTTGTAGCCCATTCATCTTGCAGACATAAACTTAAGAGCTTTGGAAACTAAAAGATGATGCATATTTAAGAATACTAGAAAAAAACCTACTGTAATTGTAACATTAAACGGTTATAACCTCACAGAGAAATGTAAGATTCTTAAAAACATCCATAAAGAATATATACATTTATATGTTACATGCAAAATAATCAACACAATGCAATCTCATTCATTATCTATCTATCGATATTTATATCTACCTTGATGATGGTACATGATCAGTGAGTGTATTTATAGAATGTCGAAAATTTGAATGATTTAAATCTTCGTCGCTAACAGTCTCTTTAATGACGACACAACCTTCAACAACACCACCATCATTTACTTTTTGATTGACACGTTTATCATCATCATCATTGACATTATTATCCATTTTAGGTTTATTTAAACTATATCCTCTACGTAGATGTATTGTAGCAGTATTATTTGATAGAATAGGAGGTGGTCTTATAGGAGCCGATAATTTACGTATTAATGATGTATTATTAATAGGTAAATTAGATTCTTGATAATTAGGTAACTGTTGTTTAGATCCAGGTAGAACCAATGATTTAGCCACTGCTGCTACTGATACTTGTGTAGTTGATTTCGACAAAGAACTGTCACATTTTCCGTTCAGCACACTATCAGAACTAATTGTTGTTGTTTTTTTAAAAAGTAAGCAATAAATTACTTTCTTTAAAAAAAATAGTACCAATTTATCACAAAAAATTTAATCATTTAGAATAAGATAAATAATTAATAAAAAAAGATGGATAGTGGCTAGAAGTGGAATCCAGGACACGCGTCAATTCCTATTTCGGAATTGTTAACTGGATGTACCTGCAGCTCAGTGTTAACGTTCACTCTGGAACTCGAACTCAGTACCTTTCGCTTCAAGCGCCATCGCGTTATCCACTCGGCCACTGAGTTCTGATAGCCACTTGTTGGTGCAATGGGGTGAAGTTTAAATTCACTTAGTATTATTTGTTTGAATCTTCCCATTGATGTTTAGGACTGCAACTGGTCAGTCTCTTATTGGCATATGTGCATACCTTGCATATTGCTTCTATACGCACAGTATGCATATATGCCAATAAGAGACTGACCAGTTGCAGTCTTAAACATCGATGGGAAGATTCAAACAAACAATACTAAGTGAATTAAAGTTATATATTTATCAGAGTTGAAAGCGTGAGTTAATTGAAGCTAGACCACCATGGAAAACCTAGCTTCAATTGACTCACGCTTTCAACTATGATAAATACTAAATCTTCACAAAACCCCTTCTATAAAGTTATATATATATTGATTTAAGATTACCAAAAAATATACGTAGATATTACTTGAAACAAATTATAATTAAAAATAAAAATCTGGATCAGTGATTTGTAAACTGTTATTTCAAATGAACTTTTCACTGTAATTTAATCACAAACTTTATTCTTCATGATCGTGTATAATGAATCCATGGAAGGTGGATTCATGTTCATTAGAACTACTTCTAAAAATTCAATAACCAAGTATATATAGATCTTAGTCAATCCAGTTATAAGCAATGTAGAATTTAGATTACAACTGCAATGGCTCAAGTTATCATACCATATTAGTACAGTAAAATGAAATTATTAAGACAAGGACCAGATTAGTAGAAGCAGTAACATTATCAATGGTAGTAGAAAACACAGAGCATAGAAAATATTATTCGAGAAAAAATAATGAAGTTACGGAATAAAAAGTAGAATATAATTTTTAAAGCTCAAGATTTGAAGGAAAATAAATAATAGATGCACTTGTGTCACAACGACCGATTATGAGACATGCCATACAATGTCTTTGATCGTTCAGTTACGGTAATTATGTCGATCTCAATCAGGTAGTTCGCACGTGCCTATATGGTTCAGACCAATAGTTAATGACCTCATAGACTGACTCTATGTCTTGATTTGTCCTTCGCTAGATTTCTTACTACTAACTTCTAAACCAGAAAAACATTACAAGTCGAGGTAGGCGGTAGTCGGTTTCTCGTCACACACATCCCAAACAATTCAAGAGATGAAGATTTACGACCTCATCGATCGACTTGCTATTTACTTTTACTTTCACCTACGCCTGTTACCCCTCGTTTAGGAGTATATGCCGCACACCAGCATTCTCCATCCAACTCTGTCCTGGGAAATCCTTTCTATATCCGCTTCTACTTCCCGGCGTAATGTGTTCTTTGGCCTTCCTCTTTTCCGCTTCTCTTCCGGATTCCAAGCTAGGGATTGAGTCGTGATGCACTTTGGTGGTTTTCTCAATGTATATCCTGTCCAATTCCAACATCTTTTTCTAATTTCCTCTTCAGCTGGAAGTTGGTTTGTCCTCTCCCATAAAACACTGTTGTTGATAGTATCCGGCCAGTGAATGTTGAGTATTTGACGTAAATAACTGTTTATAAATACTTGTACCTTCTTGACGATAGTTGTAGTAGTTCTCCACGTCTCAGCTCCATACAGTAGGACTGTCTTGACGTTCGTATTGAAGATTCTCACTTTGATATTCGTTGGCAGTTGTTTTGAGTTCCTTATGTTCTTCAATTGTAGGAATACGGTCCTTGCTTTGTCAATCCTCGCCTTTACGTCTGCGTCAGATCCTCCTTGTTCATCAATGATGCTTCCCAGGTAAGTGAATGTTTATACAGCTTCCAAAGTTCCTCCATCAAGTGCGATTGGCTTGGCGTTCTCTGCGTTGTATTCAAGGATCTCGCTTTTTCCTTGTGTATATTGAGGCCCATTGATGCAGACGCTGCTGCTATACTGGTTGTCATCATTTGCACTTGCTGGTGTGTATAGGATAGAAGGGCTAGGTCATCTGCGAAGTCCAAATCTTCTAATTGGTTCTGAGATATCCATTGTATTCCGTGCTTCCCCTCAGATGTCGAAGTCTTCATAATCCAGTCAATCACCAGAAGAAAGAGGAAGGGGGAGAGTAAACAGCCTTGTCTGACTCCGGTGGTTGAAAGTGGTGTGTTTTAATCACTAAACCACAATATCTTTAACGCACGACATAAACACTGATATTGATCACAGAATTATGGGAGAATAACATACACTATTTTACTAAACAAGTGAATAAAAAACTGTCACTAAAAGTAGACAATACTGATTTTGGTGGAATAATAAAACGGCATGTTTTTTTTTTAATTTACAACAAAATACTGAAGAATTAATAAAACCCAACAACATTTACATATGAATCACCTACCCAGGTGGATAGCCAATACCGGTGGTACACGTTGGTAGATTAGTACGATAATTATTTCTAAAGTACATATTAGTACTATTCATTAAATCTTGTGCTGGTATTGTTGAAGGGGGTGGTACGTTGTTCACTGTATTTGGATTAATAGGTGGTGGTGGAGGTGCACCAGCGCCAGTTGGAGTAGCAACAGGTAAGTGATAATTTAATTGTGATGCAGGTCGAAGTGGTTGATTGATTACATTATTTTGTAATAAATCATCCGAAGTAATTAAGCCACCATTGTTAACCTGGTTTAGAATAAAATAAAACAAAAGAGAGAAGAAGAAATAAGCTGAATTAATGGTTCTTATTTACTGGTAATTTTAAGACTGAAATAAACAAAGACATTAAATTCATAACTAGTTGATTATGCTAATAAAATACACAAACATTTAAAAATTTCTTTATTACATTTTGTCCAGTAATGAAAGAGATCAAAAAAAGAATTATTAACAAATTAATAGTTGAAACTCATAGAAATTTCGAGAGATTATTTCGATATTCAGAATTATGTATTTCACAGTGTATAAATAAAACATATCCACGAGGAAGACTAATGCAGATAAGCGTTGTCTTTTAAGCATTGCTAAATTCTTTAGAAAACCCAGGATTGTGTCTACGAAAACCTTAGTCCACTACGGTAATAAAACTCTAGTTTATCAAAGTCATTAACTCTCAACATTTCCTTCTCTATTGACCTTTAACTCCTAAGCAAAGTAATTTATTACTACATACCTCCTGAATACATCTAATTGTAATCATAATATTTTAAAGAAAACTCTTTGTATGCAATTAATAATATTTATTTAGGTTCTATGATATTGTTGATGAATACTTAAACATTTCGCAACCAAAATTTCAGATTCTTAATAATAACATTTTAACATAAAATAAATAGAATGTGACTAACAGTGAGACACATATTGCGCGTTTCATCTTATTTTGGACTTGTCAGCTAGGTGTTCCTAAACTCCAGAGTTGATGTTCAACTTCGGGAATCGAACCCAGCACCGTTTGCTCCAAACACAATCGTGTTATCCAAACCATTTCAAATGACATAAAATAACATTTGTTTTCTGATTTTTTTGTATTATGTTCAGTAGTGTTATTAACAAACATACTATTGATTATCATTGCGCAAAAGAACTTCACAATAGCGTTTGTATAGATTTGAGCATGAACTCTCCTACGCTGAACTAGAAATTTCCTGTTTTTATTTCGTAATGTAGTCGAAAATATACATCGATTACCGACTAAACCGTTAGAAAATCAAACTAGGCATAAATATATTTAGTCGTTAGATGATATTTGGTTTCACTCGCTAATTCTCATTTCAATCTCAGTCAAATTTAATCAATTAATTTACGTGATCTGATTTTAAGACATAGTAACATAAAACTACATTTGATTTATATATAATAGATAAGGAAATAATTGACAGCAATGCTTAACCATACCTAACTTATAGATAAAGGTATACGAATAGATCGATAGGAATTCATCATCAACAAGAACAAAAAAAGCATCGACCTAGAATAGATTGATTATGGCTAGCAGTAGAATCCAGGAGGCATATTTTGTTATATTAGGGATATGTCAGCTTGATATAACTGACTTTCAGTGTTAATCCCAGCATTAAAACTCGAAATGAAAACCTTCAGCTCTAAAAACCGATGAGTTATCTACTGACCTACTGAGTCCAAGTAGCCAGTAACTTATTCAACAGGTATGACGTCTATGTAATTATGAATAAGGGTTTGAGTTATTTCATTGTTGATAATCAGAAATGAATTCTGATTAGCTTTGTTGGCATATATGATAAATAGCCATAACGAAACAAAGCAAATAGACTATGCATATGCCAACGAATACTGACCAACATTCAGTGCTAGATATCAACAACGGAACAGCTCAAATCCTAAGCAATAGAGTTACAGTATAGATTATTTATAACAAGTGAGTAATTCAGGTACTTCCCATACTTCCTCATATTTAGGTATTTAAGAATAATACTTCAGAATTTAATCTATAGGGATATTACTTACATAAATGGAACTCTATGACTACTTAGTTATCAATAAAGTCTAGGTAACATATCATAAATTTTATCCAGTTATCTGACTAGCTTCGTTCCCATAAAGAAAAAAGTATGTAACAGAAGACCAAAAATGTGAGAATATGTACCGTTTATCATAGCATGAACTACAAACCAGTAAAAACTATTAGCCATACATAAATCTTTTCGTAAAAACGGTAAGATATAGGTTCAGATTATCAAAAGATAAAAAAAACAATGAACAAAGGAAATGCAAAAAGGAGAGGAGAATGAAAAAGGAAATATGATAAATTGTCAAGGAAGACCAAGTAAAATAAATCACGCAATAAACGAAAACATGTGAACTTGATCAAGATAAGAAAAGCTTTGTACAGAAAAAAAATATTTCTAAAGAAAAATTTTAAATTTAGTTAGTCAAATTTCGATCGAAGGAAAACCTAGGTATTTGAAATGTAATCAACTAGGCCATATTTGTAATATATATGTATATAATATTTTCGTTTCTATAACAATTCCTCAGTGATTACAGTGAATAATATTGTTGTTAGTAACTAATGGTAATGAATATTAGAAATAATCATAAATTTTACGATTACAATGGATGATTTTGTGGAATTCTAGTTACTCTGAATGAAGGTTATCAATAATCGTAAACCTACCAGACATCATCAACGATAGGACATGATAAGAATGTGTATTAATTCAAATTGACACACTTCGTTTAGCATCATAATGAGAGAGAATGTACAGCGTAAGCAGTAAACAAGATGGCTATATTTCAATTTTAATAGAAATTTGAACATGTGGTATGGATTACATAAGAAAAAATTGTGATGAAAACCCTAAATCTAATTCTTAACCCTAACCATCAACTTTAAATCAGAATCTTTATTCTTCACACAGGCTTAAAACCCTCATTTAGCCCTAGTAATTAGGTGGACATTCTCAAGGCACTTTGCGTCGCTCAAAGATCGTCCATAAATTAAAGTCTCACCATGAAATCCATACATGTTTAATGACAATAAAGCTAAATATATCGAAGTGACTTTAAGTTATATTCAAATCTACATTCAGCGTTATTCGTTGTAATAAACAATTGCATACAGTTCATTCAATAGAGACTTCTAAAACAATAATTTCAAATCTACAGAAAAGTGAAACAAATTATAAAAATGTGCATTCAACAACATTTTCAATATTTTTTATCCATTCCAAAATTATACTTTTTAGAATGTAAACGGTTCTTTGGAGTAAATCTAAGTATAGAAGAGTAGATTGCATGCACACAGCAAAATTATGAAATTTAATTGGGGAAAAAAGCTGATATACTGTTGGTATTCAATTAGGCAATTCAACTGTTAAAATAATTCCTTCTGAAGTGTTGTTTTATCATTCGCAAATACCTTTATATGAAAGTCGAAACTTTATCGTATAACAGGCAAATATAAATAATTCAGTTAAAAAATTATTAGGATGCAATAAAATAGTACTGGAAATACATTTTAACAATAATGAAATTGAAATGTTCTGATGATAGGTTTTTTTATGAGGAGAGAATTAAATTAACTAATGATAAATGGTTTAACCATATCGGGTTTAAGACAGTTATCCAAGTACTGAATGATGGTTGAACAATAACGAGACCTAATTGATAGGATGAGCGTTGGATGCCGGTCTAATGGTTTCGAGGTTAAGTGCTCGCTCACGAAAGTGAAGGTTCTAAGCTCGATTCCTGGATATGAGGTAGTAGATTAACTAAGAACAAGCAGTGATGCAACATATAAAATTACTGAATTATAAACCATAGAGATGAATCATCGTTTTGTGAAAGAAAAAAGTACCGATTACGGCTGTGATATAAGAAAACACATTTCTTTTGCTTTAGAAAAACCAACGATAACAACTTGAAAAGACTAGCACAGCTTAATTTTATGACAATAGGTTCTTACCATCTAACTTCAACCCATAATACTCTTACGTCACAATAAATTTCCCTCCCGAAAGTTGAACAATAATAACACATCAATGATGTATTATTATTACTGTTACTCACTTAGTACTGTTTGTTTGAATCTTCCCATTGATGTTTAGGACTGCAATTGGTCAGTCGCTTATTGGCATATATGCATACTATGCGTATTGCCTCGATATAGTCTTAACTCACAAGCATTATAATCAAAGTTGGATAGTGACTAGTAGTGGAATCCTGGATGCGCGTTTCGTCCTATCTGAGACTCGTCAGCTGGATGTGCCTGCAGCTCAGCAGGTACATTCAGCTAAGTGAATTTAAACTTAACCCCATTGCACAAGAAAGTGGCTATCAGGACTCAGTAGCTGAGTGGATAACGCGATGGCGTTTGAAACGAAAGGTACTGAGTTCGAGTCCCAGAGTGAACATTAACTTTGAGATGCAGGTACGTCAAGCTGACGAGTCCCAAATAGGACTAAAAGCGCTTCCTAGATTCCACTTCTAGCCACTATCCATCTTTGCTTATATTATTACTATTATTGTTATTATTATTATTACAATGACAATCCCTGAAAACACTGCTTTTTTATGAATTATGTAGCATTGTAGTATAGAAGGGAGTGGATTCATTGAAATGGTAAAAAATCAAGTTACAAATATTGAGCAACGGATTCAAATTACATTATAAAAATAAACCAGATGCACTTATTTCATAGTATTGTTTATACATCAAAACCTAAACTTTATCCAGTATTTCTTCTATTTTCCTACCTAAACACTCATCAACTTACCCTATAATCAATCTATTTATCTCTCTCGTTTCGATATTTTTTTTCTTTAATATTCATTATCTCTCTGTGCGAATGTGAAATCTGACAATTTACACTACTCAATTATTATTACGTAATACATCCCCATATTCCTGTATTATTTACTTGTGTTTCATAGATATGTCAGTAGAAATTATTTATGAACCGGAACAACTGGTTTTATGAACTTGATTATCTGATTGTAGATCGATTTAACTAGACATGAACATGATTATTAGCTGAGGGAATGGTGAAGTTTAGTTGTTTTTTTTTTCTTACAAAAACATAACCGGCTATGCTAATCATATAAAAGACGGTTGTTTTTCATATCTATCAATTGAACTATTATTATCTGACCCATAAATTATTTTCTTCCTTACCCCTTGATTAGTACGTAACCTCATTTGTTATTCATTCTCGAATCAATTTATGATGCAATCTTTTCTATCCTCCTATAGACATATATTTTCCATATAACTATATATACAGCTTAAGTAAATGATTTCGTCGAAAGGAAAGTTTTCTTCGCTGAATTCTCCTTTTTCTTATTCGGTTGTTTACGCTAATGATACACATTAACAATGGAGAGAGCAATGTAAATAACTTTACGTAAATGTTAATGAAACGACAAAAAACAACGAAGAAACAAAAACAACCTACACGAAATCGTCTAAATGTCTTAAGTTTATAAACATGATACTAAAAAGCTTCATAACAGGATGGAAGGAAAAAACACCCAGTTATTCAAAGTGTAGATAATTTGGAAGAACAAGTATTGTAATACAGTTGTTATAACATTCCAAACTTTCATAAGCTTACAAACGTTTCATCATCATTGGTCGAAATAACTAGTATTTTATACTGGTTTTCAAATAACAAAATGCAAACATAGTATTTGATCGATAGAATCCGATCAACTCTAAGTGCTAGAGACAAACATGTGGCCAATCAACTCTTGCCCCAATCGTATAATACAAATATCTCTCATTGCAGCGTTGGATGCTACAACTTCAAAGAGTCTATCAGTTCTATCAAAATTACCTGTATTCCATGCTAATGAGTACAATCTACAACGAAACCTAGGTCACTGTTTCCGGTTAACTGACTCAAACTATCTAACAAACCATAAAACCACGGATTTTACATGTTAGTGATTGTAACCACAAGACGTCTAAAGAAACTGTGTTACAGCTATAGTCAATCATAAGCAGCACACACTCTGACACATATCGACAACGGTTCAGGCTGACAAATAATATCGGCACATCAAGATATATCCCAGAGTACTAAAAATAGTAACAGTAACAATGGTAGTAGAAAACACTAGACATGCAGTATGATAGACGGAAAAAGAATGAATTTGTGAAATAAAAAGTAAGAGAGAAATTCGAAACCCAAGGTCTAAGGAAATATATAAAAAGTAAATGAAGCTAAGTCATGATGACCGATTCTATCCCATATCAATCAACATCAAGAATTTTTCACGATAGGCACGAGGATCCCGACTAGATAATTTGCATCTAACGAAAACAAATCAGTCCAACATGTAATGAATGAATGAACCGACGTCATTATAAAGCACTAAACCCAATCACTTTCTCTATCATCTACCAGCAATAACTAATACTGTATACTGTATGAAATCCAACAAGTGTTGAGATAGTGGCATTTATTCAATTGTGCAATCAATCAGTTAAGGCAGAAATAAAGAGCATAAACACAATCAAATTATTATTATTATAAGCACACACAGAGAGACTTAGTTTGATGGAAATGCATGCGATGGAATTATATAATTTTTACACTTCTTTATTGAAAACATAAAAACTCTAATACAATAAAATAAAACTTAGATTAGATGAATTCAAATTTCTACTGATTACATTCGATAACATCATGAATTTACAATCTGCACTACCAAACATCGTTCATTGGTGTAGATAGCTGTTAGACATACGTAATACATGTCCTAACCACCACAATCCATGAAAACTCACTGCCTTATCAACCGATTTGCGGCTTTTCGTAAGTACCCTATCCCTAGCTTCAACATGGCTCACTCTATCATTCCACAAAACAAGTATTACTCGACTATACTTATGATTAAGAACCTACATGTAGGCTACATGGTTGGGGTTTCTACGATAGCTAAGATCAGTGATGTGAGACGTTGGATGATGTATCTCAGAATCAATCACGATTGAGCCGACGCATTAATTCATGTTACTCTAAATGTCAAGTTTTAGTTCCTCGTCATATATAAATTTTCACTTATTCTTGTTAACGCATATTCTCAACGTTCAGCCTTTCTCATTGTCATTGCTACTACACTATTTCGATTCCTTTGCTGTTCATCTTGTTAATTTCACTTCGTCGTGTTTACCTATTATGACGACCAGGGCCAAAGCACACTTGTTCCAAGCTATAAATTGATAAGGACCGGTTAACTGTCAGAGGATAGTCAGGTTTTTAACAATCAAGATGTCAGTTAAACCACTGAAATAAAAGATTTTCTCTTTTGATTGTAGAAGATTTTAATAGCAACTACAACACACAACTATTATCTATACTGACATTGAGCTGTTAAACTTTGAGTAATTTTACCTATGATTTTACAGTAGGTTTTCTGATTTGTAAATTGTATTCATTAGTAAAATAATCGCATGTATGATTTTTTGATAACTGACCCTGAACAAAAACGTATCATATTGACATACGAAAAATATTCGTTGTAAAACCACTGAAGGTATAGACATCAATCCCAAATCTAATAACCCTTCACTATGTTTACAACACATAACGATATCCAGTTTTAGATTGGTTGAAGTTAGACAGTAACACTGTTAGATCCCGACTCAGTGGTTTAGAACTTAAACGTTCACACAAGACCGGAGGTCTTAGGTTCGAGTCCCGCGTGCAGGATCGTGTATGCGCACTGCTGAGGAGTCTTACACTAAAATCGCATGACATACTAATACCAAAAAGTGTGTTGCAAACTAAGACCATGCAAGCAGACATTGAGTGCAACATAATAAGGCACTGGAAGTCTAATAATAATAACTACACTTAGAAAGCAAGCAGTTAAGGGAAGCAAGCAAAATAGCTTTAAACTGACAAAAGAAATACTGACTGGCAAGCTTTAAACTGGATATATATATATATGTATACCTTTGATGTTATATTCTCTGTTGGAACAAATTCATTGTTCTTCACAATAAAACTATCACTATCATTAGGGACTTTCCGTAATCGTCTTGTTTCTTCAACTGGTTGTGTCTTTTTATGCTGTTGTTGATGATCGTGATTGGATTTTGAATTTGACTCCAAAGAATTGACTTCAGAGTTAGAATGTAAACGATTTGTTTCCACCATAGATGATGTTGCATATTCATCTGGTCCGAATTCATACGGGTTCTCAGTAATCATACATGAAGTGAATTTATTGTTCTTCGGTTGTTGTTGTGTACTACGTTCTTTACGCATTTGATCTAAGAATTCAAGGCCAGCAATAGCATCAGCCAATGTTACACTTCTAGTTGAACCATTAGTTATTAGTGTAGATGTTGACGTTGTTGCTGTAGTTGTTGTAATTGTTAATTTATTTGAATTATGTGAATTTTGACCTAACAGTGTAACAGATGGCGATGAAGATGAAGAGGATGATGACTGAGGATTAAGATGTGGTGTGGACAGTGAATTACCACCATTCATACTCAGAGCCTTACACACATATATACATATACACACATATTAGATTTGATGCATAAAACACATTTGTCGAATACAGCGAAGTTTTTGTTTTGTTTGTAAGAAAGAAAAATTAAGAATGTCAAATGGAATGATTAATGTTACATTTTTACAATGAGAATGAGTTTTATGAAAACATTTTATGAGAAAAAACGGAAGTAAATCGATAACACAACACTGTATACAACAATGACAACGACACTGATAAATACTTAGAATAAATGATGGTCAACATTACCATGGGATTGGACAAAGGAAATATTCAGTAATACAACTGAGACAATTTAATAATTATATGTATATGAAACTGCCTGATGAATAAAAAAATATCAACAGGGTACAAGTAAAACGTAGTTCACTGGTAAAGTTAGATATGGGTTGATAGTGGGATCCAGAATGAATGTTTTTTCCTATTTAGAACTTGTCAATATGGATGTAGCTGTTAAATATCCCAATGTTGATGTTCATACTAAGACTCTACACCTGGACCTTTCTCTTTGAAAACTAACGCCGACAACGGGAAAACATAAATCCTTGAAAACGAAAAAACCCTATATTTTCTTAGGCCTTATTTGTTATCCTTTTTTCGACTAGCCTTTTACAACTCTTTCCGTAAATTAAATCATTGAATCAATTATTGACTCAATTTATGAAACAACGTTAAATATTAACAAGAAAACGAAGAACATGGCAGGTCAATATAAAACTTAAAATATATTCGAAACCGAACACTAACACCAACTTATGGGTTTAATTGGTATAAGTTTTAATTTTAACCATCGTTGATAATCAGGACTACAATTGACCAGTTTCTGTTGTTATACGTAAACTGCCTTGATACAAGTTTTAATATATTTGGTATGTGGGTAGCAATGGAATCCAGGATGCGTGTTTCACTCTATTTGGAACTTTTTAATTCGTCATACTTGTAATACAACCTAATGTTGAACAATACACTGAGACATGAATACAGTACACTTCTGATTCAAATATCCGAAGCTTTATCCACTGGAACTACTGAGACTGGAATAAGTTGGTTTTGCATTGCTGACTTTTGTTAATTTCTCTCATTATTGATGTGGCTGATGAATTACTGTCTCAATTATTTTTCCTTCTCCTAAGTTCTCGTTCTCGCGCACATACGATTCTCAGTAAACTCATCTATTTTGAGCATATAAAGGAATCATACCATCCAGCTAAACGTTACTAAGACCTTATATCACAGAAAAAACCCCAACCTAAATGAACATTGACAAGGTGGTAGTCTGGGTACAGAACAAACAAACTCAGATGATTAAATTCAAATTACCAAACACATTAAATACTTTATCATTAAGAGGAGGATGAGTTGAAGATGATGCAGTGTGATTCAAATACAAATAGGAATGAGATGAAACTAGAGCTAGTCAAATGTACATTGAAAATCATGCAAAATAGATTGACTCAATGTATCAAGCGTTTCAAAGGTCTAAACAATTAAGTCAACAGCTAGCAATTTGATTAATCTTTGGTATAATCTTGACACAATCAAGAAAGATACAATTAATCATCATTAAATATTGGATATACATTCTGTTCTTGTATCTAATTTTTTTCTGGAACCGTAAAATGTTAAGAATAATCAAGATTACCGTAAAATAATTGGCGAATGATTAACTACACTGACATTTAAAGTAATGTAGTTGAATGTGAGCTTTAAGACTAGGTAGACAGATTGACACATACGAAAATATAAAAAAAATAACATACTAGTAACTTAATAAGGAGGCAATAATTAGTTCAGTACAATATTATGTGACAGCCACTTATGACTTTTAAGTATCTAACTATTACTAAGCTTGTAACAAAATAATTGTGTAAAATAAAATCAATTGATCCAATAGGAGCAGGTGATAAACATTCATCTTTCATTGCCAAACACAGTCAAAATATGCTATTAGAATGACCTTTGTGTTTTTGTATAAAACAATTACTTAGGTTTGTTGAAATCTTAGCCGTATCAAAGGTTAAATCAGTCAGTCAGCTACAACGTAGAAACAGGCGAACTTATGCATCGGTCCAAGTTGCCATAACTTCATTAGCACAACAAGATTAGCACCGAATTCATAGTAGTTAATTTAGCCGTGGTAATATATAAAAGATAGGTTGTATATAAGCATATAGTACAGGAGGAAAGACAGATATGAAGCAATTTTAATCTCAAGGTTTAAGGGAAGATAAAGAGTGTATACACCTACGCCATTGTGATCGATTCTGAGCCACAGAGTCACACAAAGTCTCCATCCATTGGTTACGATAGTCACGCGGACCCCAACCAAGTAGTCTGTATCTACAACATGGTTCAGACAAGAAGTTAGTGACCTCAAGCACTGATGCCATGTTTTAGTTTGGCCGCCCCTTACTTTCTTCCAACTATCGCCAATACTAGTCAGCATTGGGCGTCGTGGTAACAGGTGTTTAGGCATACGTAACACGTTGCCCAACCATCTCAGTCGATGAAGATTCATAACCTCATCAACTGATTGACCATCATTCCCTAATAACCTGCGTCTAACATCACTATTACTTACCCGGTGACCCCAGCAAATGCGAGCAATATTTCTAAAGCATCTGTGGTCAAATACTAGTAACTTACGAATATCTTCTATTCTGAATGACCACGTTTCGCAGCCGTAAAGTAGAACAGAGCGAACTACTGTGCAGTACACCCGTCCCTTAATGGACAGACACTCCACTACGTGTGTTCAAAAGCGATTTGTACTAACTACGGTAATACTGATTTATTATCCAGAGTGATATGATTCATATTGTTTTTCACTGTATTTTTACCTTCCGATTTCCCTAAATGACCTTCACTTTTCATTAATAAGTATTTATAGTTTACAACACGAACCAATTTTTATTAGACCAACATTGAAAACCAGGAAGCATTGGACATTTTTTTCCGTTCCAATATCGGAACTTCATAGCAGTGCCCATCTACAAACGCACCACAGGGGTCTGAACACAGAACCTTAAGTTTTGAGCGCGAACGTTTAAAGCCTAGAGCTCTGAGCCGGAACGAAATCGTATACATGCCTAACTTCAATCAATTCGCAATACTGCGCATCTATCTTCCATTCCTTGGGGTCGGTAACTGTCTCCCAATCGACATGATTGAACTCCACTAGTCATCGCTTATCGCTAGAAACTCCAGGAACTGTGTTAGCGCTCGAAATTGTAGGTCCTAGGTGCTAAGGAATACTATAGTAGGGCAAAACAAATGTTCACAGCTCCTTGTTTTTTAATGGCAGTCTAACTAGATTCAGTCCGTTATGTAAACTACGAAAACTTAACAATTTAGACAAAACCCCTATACTGATCTATAAATTTCCTGACACGTTATTGCATATGATCGGTCCTTTTGAAACTTATTGTGTCAGTATATCACCTAATTCTGATAATATTCGTCTTTTTACTGCATTATCAACGGTTAAAGAATATGCATACTTCTAGTTATATTCTGGAGGATATTTTAAAAATTAATGAAATTCGAGAAATAAAATGAAAAAATGATTAAATAAGCATTAAAGTTATGTTTTATATGTTAGAAAACAGAAATCCATTATAAAATTAAGATAGAAAATAAACCTAACATTTTACTACAGAAAATGAATAGCGTGTTATCACTAAGTAACTAAACATTTAAGAGAAATAAATGCATGAAAGCTAAGCAACTACTTGTGAGTAGAATTAAGCGTAGTTTCTAGTCAGAAGTGCAACAAATAAAGGCTGAGTATAGCAATATATCAGAACGCGATTCTACATACATGACAGATAGAGAACAGAATAATATAACTAGACCCATAGATCGCATTCGTCGCAGACAGATCTTTGTTAACGTAATATTATAAACCATAGGTCACCGAACATCTGCCTCGTTTTGGTATAAACTTTTCAGCAGTTAGGTATCCACAACAACACCAGGGATTGAATCCAGGATATTTTGTTCTTGTGATGAACGTCTAGTCATTAGAATCACTGGGTTGGGGTCCGATTATATACATTTTCAACTTTAACCAGAGTGTTGTATATCATCATGATGATCCAATGCCATTAGCGATAACTGTTTACTGCTAATAAGTCTGAACCAAATTTATACATGTAACAAAGTATACTCATACACATATCATTTGTTGAAACTATGTCCTAATTTTGCAATATATGATGATAATATCAGACTTAAATAAGACATGTTTTCACATTGTTTAACTTAATCAGTTACCTGATGTATTGGACGTCCAGCGGCTGACATTGATCGTTGTTGTTCAAATTGACTACTACGTGACATAAAACCGCCATTACCACTCGGTTGTGAATATTGCATGGGCTGATGTTGAAGATTACGACGTGGATCCCCGGCCAATGGAGTAGGAGCAGCATATTGAGGAATGGACCGTTCAGATTCTTTACTAACTACCCCAGATGACAATATTGACGATGTTGTATTTCGATTAGGATTGTTAAAACTACCACTAAAAGAATCACTAGAAATACCACCGAACGGTGTTGACCTAGAACTTAATGGTGATGGTGGAGGCGACCAACCAGTTGGACCAAAATTAGGTAATAAACTTGGCATAACATTATTTGCATTAAGACGTCCGTCTTGATTAGAATAGTAATATGCATCATTTATATCATTACCACGTTGTTGATTGTAATAATCATCGATTAATTGTCCCTGTGAACTGCCATTACGATTTGTACCAGTACAACTAACACGTAATTCTAGCTCTTCAGCTAACTGTTCAGCAGTTTGTTTCTCTTCCTAGATAAAATAACATAAGTAAATGTTGAAAGGTCAGTTGAATAAAAAGCCTTATGAAGTAAGCAATTGAACTTATATACACAAATGCACTGGTATATGTACAGAAAAAAAAGATTTATAAGCTAATAAGTAAACTTAGTAGTAAGGAAAATTCTGGAGACATATTAAATCTAGTAACAAAATCGGTAGTTAACAAATCAGAGTAGAGTGTGACATAATTCACTGTTTTTCTAGGAGGTTCTACAAAGAGCTGATTTTATAGTATTTTAAGAGTTTTCCCAGTTTCTGAAGGCTTGCCCGAATAACTTCCGAGTATGCCCAACTATAACTCCGCCTGTAGCTCTTCTAGAGTTACTGCCGGTCTCAAGCCCACACAAAGGAGGAGGGTTGGGCATGGGGTTAGCGACCCCATCCCGTAGAAAAACTAACTCGCTAAAAAACGCTAACCAGAAAAAATAATCCAAACCATTTAAACTCTGCCCTCTCAGTTGAAGGAATAATTATGACGTCTCATGATAAAAGCCGAAATTCTTCGGAAGTCACGAGACCGATGCACCTTCTAACAACCAGATCAACAATCAACATAGGTACATGGAACGTCCGGACAATGTGAGAGACAGGAAAGACCAGCCAAATAGAAATGGAAATGAGGAGATACAACTTGGCAGTACTCGGAATCAGCGAAACCCATTAGACACAAACTGGACAATAAAGGCTAGGTACAGGAGAGATGCTGCTGTACTCCGGTCACGAAGGGGAAAATGTTCCACACACTCAGGGAGTTGCTCTAATGCTGTCCAGACAAGCACGAAATGCACTTGTGGGATGGGAATCTCATGGACCCAGGATAATCAAAGCATCATTCAGAACAAAGAAGCAAGGGATCACAATGAATGTTATCCAATGTTATGCACCCACCAATGATAGCAACGACGATGATAAAGATCAGTTCTATGAAAGGCTGCAATCAATTATAGAGAAGTGCTCACGAAAGGACCTCACAATCCTGATGGCAGATCTAAATGCTAAAGTTGGAGTGGACAACACAGGATATGAAGATATAATTGGACGACATGGATTAGGAGAGAGAAATGAAAATGGGGAGAGACTTGCAAATCTATGTGCATTCAACAAATTGGTTATAGGTGGCACAATATTCCCGCACAAGCGCATACACAAAGCTACATGGATCTCACCGGACCAAACCACAGAGAACCAGATAGATCACATCTGTATCAACAAAAAATTCCGAAGATCAATGGAAGATGTGAGAACCCGGAGAGGAGCTGACATAGCTTCAGATCACCACCTGGTTGTGGCCAAGATGAGATTGAAGCTAAAGAAAGACTGGACAACTGAACAAACAGCACTAAAAGGTTCAATACAGCCTTCCTTCGAGATATTGACAAGCTCCATGAATTCAAGATAACTCTCAACAACAGATTCCAGGCTCTACAGGATCTACTGAAAGAACAAGAAACTACTTTGAAGGACAACTGGAAAGGGATAAAAGAAGCACTAACTTCAACGTGTCAGGAGGTTTTTGGTCCTAAGAAGCATCAACACAAGGAATGGATCTCTATGGGAACCCTGGACAAAATTCAAGAAAGGAAGAACAAGAAACTAGCAATTAACAACAGCCGAACACGAGCAGAGAAAGTCAAAGCACAAGCAGACTACGCAGAAGCAAACAGGGAAGTGAAGAAAAGCATTAAAGTTGACAAGCAGAAATACATGGGAGAACTAGCAACGGCGGCGGAAAAAGCTGCAAGAGAAGGGAATATGAAACAACTATGTGATACAACGAAGAAATTGGCAGGGAGATATAGCAAACCAGAGAGACCAGTCAAGGACAAAGAATGAAAGACAATCACTGAGATTTAAGAACAGAGGAAAATATGGGCAGAATACTTCGAGGAACTGCTGAATAGACCAGCCCCACTGAATCCACCGAACATCGAAGCAGCCCACTCTGACCTTCCAATAGATATCACTCCACCAACGATCGAAGAAGTCAAAATGGCCATCAGACAAATCAAAAGTGGGAAGGCGGCAGGACCTAACAATATAATATAATAATAATAATATACCAGCAGAAGCACTGAAGTCAGACATTGAAATAACTGCAAATATACTTCACCTTCTATTCAAGAAGATTTGGGAAGAGGAGCAAGTGCCAACGGACTGGAAAGAAGGATATCTCATCAAGATACCAAAGAAAGGAGATCTGAGAAAATGTGAGAACTACAGAGGGATCAGTTTGTTATCAGTACCAGGAAAAGTTTTCAACAGAGTGCTGCTGAACAGGATGAAAGACGCAGTAGACGCCGAACTTAGGGATCATCAGGCTGGATTCCGTAAGGATAGGTCGTGCACAGACCAGATCGCGACACTACGGATCATCGTTGAACAATCGGTTGAGTTGAACTCATCACTATACGTCAACTTCATTGACTATGAGAAGGCGTTTGACAGCGTGGACAGGAGAACATTATGGAAACTTCTTCGACACTATGGAGTTCCTGAAAAGATTGTCAACATTATCCAAAACTCATACGATGGACTACAGTGCAAAGTCATGCATGGAGGACAGCTGACAGATGCATTTCCAGTAAGGATAGAAGTCAGACAAGGCTGTCTACTCTCCCCATTCCTCTTCCTTCTAGTGATTGACTGGATTATGACGAATTCGACATCCGAAGGGAAATACGGAATACAATGGACTTCTCAGAATCAATTAGATGATTTGGACTTCGCAGATGACCTAGCCCTCCTCTCTCATACACACGAACAAATGCAGATGAAGACAGCAAATGTAGCAGCAGCCTCCGCATCGATAGGCCTCCACATTCACAAAGGAAAAAGCAAGATTCTCAAATGCAACACGGAAAACACCAACCCAATCACACTTGATGGCGAAACTCTGGAAGAGGTGGAAACATTCAAGTACCTGGGGAGCATCGTTGATAAACAAGGAGGATCGGATGCAGATGTAAAGGCGAGGATTGGCAAAGCAAGGGCAACATTTTTACAATTGAAGAACATATGGAACTCAAAACAACTCTCAACCAATTTCAAGGTCAGAGTCTTTAATACGAACGTCAAGACAGTCCTACTGTATGGAGCTGAAACGTGGAGAACTACTACAACTATCTTCAGGAAGGTACAGGTATTTATGAACAGTTGTCTACGCAAAATACTCAACATCCATTGGCCGGATACTATCAGCAACAGCGTTTTATGGGAGAGGACAAATCAGCTTCCAGCTGAAGAGGAAATTAGGAAAAGACGTTGGAATTGGATAGGACATACATTGAGGAAATCACCAATGTGCATCACGACTCAATCCCTAGCTTGGAATCCGGAAGAGAAGCGGAAAAGAGGAAGGCCAAAGAACACATTACGCCGGGAAATAGAAGCAGATATGAAAAGGATGAATAGCAACTGGAAAGAACTGGAAAGGAAGGATCAGGACAGAGTTGGATGGAGAATGCTGGTGAGCGGCCTATGCTCCTCGACGAGGGGTAACAGGCGTAAGTAAGTAAGTAATGCCCAACTATAAAAAACGATTGCCAGAGATATTTGTAAATTGAAACACTTCTCTAATCAACATATACACGACTTACATAATAAGTCAAGCGTGTTATATTATTCATTATTAATGTTTGAGGCCATAATAATCTCTACTACCTCAATATTAAAAGCATGCATTATTACATTTTACTAGTAATCAGTTTGAGAAAGAGAAACTTGAGTTTCTATTGCTAAGCTACATATTTAAAACAATTGTCAACAGTTCAGTAGAAAAAAAACAACACATATGGACTGTCTAAATTCAGTTAAACACATAAATAAGCATAAAAACATTTTCACTGTAAATTTATAAATATCTACTCTATTTAATTTATATTGATATAAAAAACCTGTTATCTACTCCTTAGTTGTCAAAATTTATTAACGATTGTTCCATCACCTTATGGTTTAATATCGATAAGATACATGTTGGAAAATTTCTTATGCTCAGATGTATTATTGTATGTAGCTAATTTTCTCGTACAAAAAAAGTAACTAATTTTAGGAAATTGATAATATATATACTGACTTTTTAAGGTTAAACTAGTTTTTCAGTAACTTTGAGCACTAAATTCATGGGTTACTGACCGGGAAGCCTGAACAAGTAAGAAAAAGTTGAAACACGACTGAAGTTTCGATCTCAAGTCAGCTCAAGTATATGATTCAATGTTTCTTTATATGGTTATGTATAACCTTGAAGTTATGGGAACTTCTAGAAGATATAAAAATTTACTTCATTGAAATCATGAACCAAACGATGTTAGACCATGATAGGAAACCTGAAAGCATTGAAAGGCTGTTTCATTTTATTACAGAACTCTTCGGCAGTGATCATCCACGATCCCGAACGCGGAAATCGAACTCAGGATCTGAGGTCCCGCATCAGAACACTTAAGATCCAGACCACTGAGTCGGCAACCAATAATGTTAATGTCTAACTCAAACAACTCCATACTGAAAAATAGAAATTTGTGATGAATTTCGAGGTCGATAAATCAAATGAAGAAATATCGTAAATGTGTCCATTTTCTGGATATACATCAATAGTATTTTACTAGCTAAATGTAATTTTAGCTTTTCTAGACATCATTGTGATTCCTACAAAGCTTTTATGCTATTTAAAAAAAATCCAATCAAATATTAATTTTTTTCCGTTACTAAGCCAATGGAATCGTGATTTAAATGTTTGAAACCTATATCAAAATATTTGCTTCTAAAAGTTTTTTTCCCAAATCAGAAACATGCCAACAGAAAAATGATCACACCACATCTAGAGAAATATCATTTGTATTCGAATGTATAGAATAAAATCGGATAATCTTGTGGGTTAGACAGACTAAAATTAACATGAGATAACTTTGAAAAGAGGTTTAGACGTATAACCTTATGTCTTCCACAAAAACATTCATCCAAGAATTTCGGAATTGCATTCCAACACATTATGTGCTGCTATATGCTGCTGCAAATAAAGCTTAGTTAAACACACTTACGCCTGTTACCCCCCGTGGAGGAGCATAGGCCGCCCACCAGCATTCGCCATCCCACACAAGTGAAATAAAATTTTTAAAATACACAGAGCGATCAGTGGCAGAAATTCCTAAATTTCAACCATTGGGGTGAAGAAACGAGCCCAATTCTATTCAACTTCGGGTTTAGTCAGACAGTTAGCATTACTGGACCCACTAATAAAAACTATAACCCCGAAACAGACACACGAACCCATACTTTGTTACTAAGCTACATCACATGGAAGACCAAACGTTAACTTTACCTGTATCATTTTGATCTCTTTATTTATTGCATCCAATTGATTTTGAATCAACAGTGCTAATCTTTGTGCATCTGTATTATTAGTCCCAATTTCTGACTGACCTCTGCTTACTGGACTTGTTGTTGTATCACCATCTGAATCAATCCAATCAGAACCACCAATTTTTCGTTGGATTCTTTTGAGAGAACTACTGTTATTTTCTAGTTCATCTAAATTCCCTTCTTCATTGTCGAGAAGGGTCTAATAAAAATTTAAAAAGAAAAAGATAAGTAAACACTGTTGCATATTTAAGTGATTAAAACTGGCACATAATTCAAATAACAATATGAAATATACTATTTACTGAAATACAAATAATTTATTAGACTAATAACCAGACAACTGTATTGCATCACCTCTTTTCAGAGTTATGAACAAAAGAATCATGTCACTCGATATAAGAAAAGCGTTCTCTTGTTAACCAAATCGAATAGATAGATAAAACATCATAGTCTATTTCCACCCAAAGACAAAAATTCGACGAAAATCCAACTTCAAACAAACTATTTATATTAACATCTGACTATAGTCTAACCTAGCTTCATTGAATGATATTTACTGATATAGACAGATGACTGACATAAACATATCGACTGATATTTCGGTCTTATAAGACTGAAAACACTAGCATTAAGATTATACAAATATATTGAAAAAATCATTATGTAAACGAGATTATTTATTTGACCCAATTATCATGTACTTGAATAGAAAGTACATACGAGCTTGATAATAACCGTTATAGACAATAATACTTGTCTTCTATTACGCTATAAATGAAGTATTGTCATAACAATCAATAGGTAGAAAATCAATAATAAACTAGTAACTAGTAACATTACAGCTTAAAAATTTGTCCAGAGTGCAATAAAAACATTGAGTTTAACAGGAGAAGTGGAACGAGTGCTTCTTCACTGGTGAAGATACTGAGTAGTACACGATTCAGTCGCCTTCAAGTTTTTCTCTATACAACCAAGAAAACAAAACAGTAGTCTCCATATTTCCTTAAAGTACAATATACAGTTCAAACTGGATAACAGCGACCCATTAATATAACACAGTAATCATCAACGATAACAAGAAATAGACTAGTGTTGATGCTTTATTTTATATTCGTCAAGTCTTCATTTATACAAAATAATTGGTAAGTAGTACATATTGTGAAGCGGAAATATGTGACAATGGGTTATACTGTGCATAATCATCACCATAACAATAGATAATACCTAGTTGAATGTAAACAATAATTCAAATGAATTACAACATCATTTGTACTGTACACCAATGTTATGAATACATCAACTTTATTGCACATATTTAAAACAAAAGTGATAATGAGATACTACTTGAATATTAATTCAACACTTAGAAGTAACAGTTTTACTTTAACAGGAAAAAAGACATATTACAATTGAGATAATAATAACAATAATGCTAATAGTAAACGCTTTATTCAACACTATAAGATTAGTACAAGATTTGAGCTGCGACTTATCGATTCAGTGTATGTACCTTAGTTTGAAATCAGAGATAAGCCCGAGGATAATGTCGGTTTTCAAAAAATAAATGTTGTGGAGCATCTGGTTTAAACAACTACTCAATAACGAATTATTATTATTATTATTAATTATTATTATTAATTATTATTATTATTATTAATTATTATTATATAGAATCAACATCAGTCAGGCTTAAATAATCCTCTTGTTATTATTAAGGACCGAAACCTTATTAATAATGGTATAAAAACCATATACATTACATAAGCTAGCAAACTAGGTCAGTGGACAATGGGTGAGTGTCTGAAGCGAACTTTACTGGATATGAACTTTTGTGTAAACACCGACACTTGGATGTGGCAGGCACATCCAGATGATGAGTTCTGAATAGGACGGAAAGCGCGTCCTGGATTCTACTGCCAGACATAATCCACTATTATTACTAACAATCACTGTTTCGGATTTTATATAAATGGCAGTCAATCATGAACAACGTATAACTGGCAAAGATATACATTTAACGAATAATACGAATAGTAGTACAAATGACACCATATAAAATAAAACATGGATAAGATAGTTCAAAGAGAATGAATTTTAACCCAGTGAAGATAAACACAATTAAAAAGTAGTAAAATATATTGTTTATTGGTAGATGATAAAAACTTAAGGCATATAAGTAACTACCAAAAATATCAAACTACATTAAATTAAAATATTCAATCAGAGATTCAATCTAGTACCTCTTGTAGAATTCAAACAAGACGGTACTATTGAACTTGACGATATGACTCAATTCAACCCAGTCAAAAACTTTACTGGACCGAAATCAGGTTAAAGTTTGACTACTATCGATTAATAAGTTACAATATAGCCACTAATCTGAGTAACATGATATCACGTGTACTATGTTAAGATGTTAGTTAATTGGTTGACTGACTAAACAGTTTCTTTTCTTTGGATTAATTTTAACATTAAAAATGAGATTGAACCGTTACAGCTTGAAGAATACCAAACTAGAAATTAACATTCATGATACCTACACAATTTCTTACCAAGTACTAAATAAACAAATGTCTTAAGAGAATAGTGGCAAATTAATTTTACCAATTAAATTTGCTATACCATAATTACACACCTAGAAGTGATTAATTACACACTCAAAATGAATTATAACCCTGCCAATCACTGAAAAACTAATTTTTAATGGAAAGGAATATTAGATTTCAGAACATTTTTGGGAAAAATACTATATTACTGAAAATAGTATATATATCCTAGTGTGGAACTCCCCAGTAGTGTGCACCTGTCATCCCGAACGCACGAAGCGAACATAGGGTCTTTGATTTCGCGCATGGATGCCTAGTAGCTAGACCTTGGAGTTTGCATCCAACAGTGTTAATATCTAACCTCAATCAATGTACAATCCTGAGTAATCCTACGGTGGATAACTGTCTCACACTCAACATGGATTGAACTCCGCTAGTAACGACTTATCACTAGAAAGGAACTTGTAACATATAGAAGCTAGTCACTAGTGAGCATATGATTACTATTAGTATAGGGGGATTTGTGATTGTAAAACTTTCAGAGTTGGTCTAACCAAAATCAGTTCGTGATTTCAACTGTAAAAATACTACAGTTTCCACAAATCCCCAATAATAATAATAAAATTAATATAAGTTATTACCCAAAGGGGAAACAAACAATAGTTTTAATGAAGATACAGTAACATGGTTCAAATTTCATACTAATAAGGAAAAACTTAACGTAACGTTTAATTCCTCATGTAACTTGGAAATGAAAAAAAAGCGAAATAGACATCTTGAATTTTGCTATAAACACAATATTGTAAGGCATTTATTATTATTATTATTATCATAAAGAATTCTAAAAAACGAAACTCCCTCAGCAACGTAATTGACTCGTCTTTTTTCCTGCCTAAATGTTTGTACACGAAAGACTGTGTCGGTAAAATGTTCATTTTAGTAAAAGACAAGATGATTATTTTTCCAAAGTCATTTTATAAAAATATCTCCATGTAGTAGGGGTGGTAGTAGTAGTAGAACTAAACAATAAAACAGCAATTCATTAGATGAGAAAGTAAGAAATGACTATGAGCTTTTTCAAGACAAAAGCAAGACAGTTAGACTTTATAGTACGCAAGTGTCTACTGTTTTCAAAGTACTCATAAATACATGTAACAGATTTTAAAACTATATATATATATATATATATATATATATATATATATATATATCCATAAGTACGTAACCAAAAGTACGTTTATTATTACTACGATCTGACATATAAAGCAAACTTGATATTGAATAAAAAGAGATACGCTAAGAACAACAACAACAACAACAACAGATTTTACAAAAAAGTCAACAATTATTACATCAAAGTGGGAAAAAAAGAAAAGTGTACTAAATAAAAGTGCATATGAACTGAAAGACAATAATAATAATAACCATAAATATCTTAAACCTGATTGATTAAATGATAATAACAATGAAAGAGTCAGTGTACTTTGTTTCATCTTATGTAAAAATATGCATAGAATTATGATGAAATTCATTAATTTATAATACTGTAGTATAGTATTACAATACGTGAAAGATTTACATTAATCTTCTTACTTAGCTATATTTCATACAATTTTACCGGTAGAAATTATAAAATGAATCATTTACAAAGACCATGTAAGAGTTTATTATTCATTGTTATGTATTATTGGTTTAAGCATTCAAATTTGAAAGAATAAGTCATCCACTCATACACAAACAAAAATGTGATCGGGTACATGAAAATTTGAAATAAATCTAGAATGAATTAGATAAAAGCACTTAAAATTGATCGTTTTTTTTTAATTTTAAATCCATACACAGAACATTGGAACAGTGACTAAGGTACTTGACTCTGAATTATGGAAAAATGAGTTTGAATCCCTTCATATCTGTTCCGGTATGGGTATAACATAAGTACTAATGGTTATACACACAAAAATGTGCGTTGCACGTAGTTACTGGTAAAAAAAATACTGAGAATAATTAGTTTCATGATATACATTTAGTTAGACAAGCAATGAAAATCCTAGACCTTCAGATTCAATTTCCAATAGGATCATAGATACTGAAGAGTCTCAGACTAGGAGAAAACGGCCTTCTAGTGCTTTCTTATTTTTTATAGTTTTCGGTGATGAAAACCATAAAGTTTAAAAATTTCAACACAAGTTAATTACTATCATTTATTCAGTCATCTCACATCAAGTTGTGTAGTAATTCACTAACCAAGACTATACAGACAGAATGTTTACAGTCAAACAATAAGCAACTCAATGCTATCTAATTTCATCTTAAAATTATTGAACTAGTAACTTAATTATTCACATGAAATAAGCTAAAGGAAGTTAGAGAAAGCAGATATTTTATCGAGTAAATTAACGTTTACAGAACTGATTTTGTAATATAATTATAAATTTGAAGTAAAAATAAAAACCAAATTTGTTTGATCAATCAAATTTTATTTACAAAGAAAAAGATACTTCATATGTGAATGTGTCCACCGGAAATTTACAATTCTCAGTAGTCAAAACATTTCATAGAAGATAATTGCTGGCATACTAAAATGTAACCACTTTTTGATGTTGTCTAAGTCCACAGCAAACATTCACAGTTTATGATATCTGTTTCGTTTAAA